TTTATTTTCTGTTTTTGGTCCACAAGGGCTTGAAGGCTCTCCAACCAACGAAAAACAACAGTAAAAGAACGCCCAACAAGAAAAGGGGGTTGAGAGTTATTGTATTTGGCAGTTGGCGCTTCTCTCTATTCATTTGCATAGTATATTGAAATGGTTCTGTAGGCCCTTTTTTCTACACCCGGGCACACACCCACTGCCTACATACATTTATTGTTGTTGTCATTGTTTGTACACACAAGAACAATAATAACAGCAGCAGCAGAAACAACAACACAACATACGGTATTAACAGCTCCCTTACACTCATATGATTCAAACACTTACCACTCACTACTCTTCTCAGTGCAGTTCAGTTCAGCTCTGCTCGGTTTTGCTTTCTGTTTTGGCTCTCATGTTAAGTATAGTACTCCACACAATGTGTATTCACCATACTCCCACACACACACACTCTCTCTCCTATTCCCATGCATGCAAGGAAACAACCATGTGAGTATGCCTGCATTCTCACATTATCATTGAGTGTTTGTTTTTATGGACGACTGTTATAGTCGTTGTTGTTGCTGTTGTTGTTGAGAGCATACTAACGAGGGAGAAAACATCATGTGGGTAATTAATTAAGAGAAAGGAGTTCTTTAATGGAGTTTCCGTTAAGATTTCTAATAAGAAAATAAGAATAATATAAATTAAACGTTAATAAGCAATCTTTGAAGGTGCATTGTTAAAGAAATTCCAATAACAACATTTGGGCCATAAACACTTCAGAGAAGGAGAAAGAAAATTGCATTAGTAATATAATCTCTTAGTTTTTAAGAGAGCGAATATTTAAATGATTGAATTAGAAGATCAGCTCAAACAAAAAGAGTTAAAAGTATTTTCTTAGAATTCCGCAAGGCATAAAATTAAAAATTATAATTTATTAACAATTTCTTTTTCAAAATTGTTTCCCAACATTCCATACCACTCTCCCCCCTCCTATAGTGTTTGTCATATCCTTGTATAGCTAAGTGTATGCTTAATGTTCACTTGGTTTGGCATTAATGTTGATTGCCAATTTTTCTTTAGCTGTTTTCTCCCAAACCCCCAGTATTTTCCGACAATTGTCACCATGCTAACAAGTAGATCTATGCCTGGCCCTTGGGGGATAATAGTACAATCATTCTCATGAATAGGGAATCATATTACAAAATACCACTTCAATGCTTTTTTTTCGTCACCATCATCAACCCCCTTTTGAATGAGTGTTCATGATAGATAAATAATCGAATTTCAATGCAAACGAAATTTTGAAAAAAAAACTTTCAGAGAAAAACAACTTTAACTACATCACAACTACAAAAATTAGCAAGAAATATTGACTCGATTTATTGTTTGTTTGTAAGAAGTTTGTTAGGAAAAACTCTGCTCAAGTGATTTGTTGGGTATTGTGCATTTCCAAGGATATTTTTTTAGCAGCAATGCATAGGAATTTTTGCAGTGAACGGCATTTGCATTCAACATAGTTATTGGTGCTGATGATTGGTGAGCAGGAGAGAGAGAGAGCGAGTTGCCTCAGGGGAAACCAATAAACAAATAAATGACTTTATTGTCAGGACAAATTTGTTTCCATAGAATTTTCTGCAAGTGAAAATTTGATAAATTACTAATAATTTATGGCAATTTATATGTTTAATAAAAAACATTAAAACACAAAGGATGGGAATCAAGAGGTGTAAAAAAAAATTTGTAGAAAGTGAAGCATACTTTCAATAATATATTTCTTTAATTATGAAAAATATTCCTACAAATATAGGAACTATAAAGTTTAAAAATAATCTTATTAGTAATTAAAGCATACTTTTAGGAGCTTTATTCTTAGTTATAATATATTTATTCACATCTCGCACTCTGATTTTTTTCAAAAATTTATTTGAATTTATTTGGCAAGTCCGTTGTTATATAAATCATGGCCCCTTGATGTCATTTCTCTCCATTAAATTTTAAATATTCATAAAACTTAGAAACCGCACCATAGAGAATTTGTATCACAAAAAAAAAACAACAGGAAAAAAATAAACAAAAATGCTTTTCCTTGCTGCCATTGAATTGAAGTGGCCTCCTTTTAAGGCCACACCAAAAGTTGGCTGGCCAAAAAAAATGTATACCCCAAAAAGTGTTTAAATTGTGTCGTTTTGTTTGTCTTTTGGCCACCCAGAGGTATTGTTAGCATCATTTACGAAACATGCAACACAAACACTTGCCAAAAAGTTTAAAATTTAATAAAACAAAACTAGGCAGCAGGGGAGGGTCCTAGGAAAAATATTTTTTTTTTACTTTCATCTTAACTGAGAGTGATAGTTATTTTTCGATTTTTATTAAAAAAAATCCCATCTCTACTCAAGTAACTAATTACTTAGCCATAATTATTATACAGCCATGTAAGTTCCATAATACAAGGTTTGGCATTGCCTATATTTTACCATGGCCCTGAAACCAATAGAAAACAATGGATATTCACATTCATTTTCCATATTTCAACAAATAATTTACCACAATACAAGCCATTGAAGGGGAAGAAGAAAAAGAACATGAACAAGAAATTAATTGCAAATCCATAAAAATAGAAAAAAAACATTTTGAACGAAAACTTGTGATTAATCATAGGCTGGGGAATTTAGAGATTCATTTCATGTTTTTTGTTTTTTGCTCTATTGTAATTTATTACAACAACAGCATACACGAATGGGTGTGTGTGTGTAGATAAATTAGAAGGTAGATAATTTGATTGGGGACTTATGGCAAGCATAATGAATAAATTCATTCATTGTGTTGCGATAATGAGAGATGAGAAAAAAATATGGCATAATTTTAGGGGATGTGGGAAAGAAAACAAAATTACAAAATTTCCATTTTTAGATTTTTAGAAAATATCAAATAAACAAAATTTATTTTTCCAGTCTGAGAATTTAAAATAACAAAAAAAATAATGCCATTATTTTAATACTATTATTTTGATATTAAAAAATTCAAAGCATACTTTAGGGAGCTATGTAGCAAAGAGAAAACATTTCTCTCATATAATGTATATTTAATTTCAATTAATTATGAAATAAAGCGAACGAATTCTCTCCTTTAATTCATATTTAATTTCTATTCATTTTTGAATTTCTCTCTCCCCGCAACTCATTTATTGTTTGAATATAAAAATTATTAGCATACTGTAGGGAGTTAAGAACAATTGTCGCATTGTTTTCTATTTAAATATTTAATTTCCCAGCATTATCAAAAGTTCGCTCTGCCTCAAAAGTTGCTCCCCACAACCCAATATATTCCACTCAAAACTTTTTCAAAATAATATCTGGAAATGTGAACATTTCCCTCACATCCGTCAGCAAAGTTCAATAAGTTTCCAGGTGACTGTCAATCACAAAACAACAACAGAGTACTCTTATCTCTCCAAGAGGGTAAATGAATGAACGAATGAATGACATCCTTTGTGGGCGATTTGGCTTTTGAATTTTTAACGGTTACATGGATTTCCTTTTACGAGTGGGTGGATTAGATAATGCCATTAAAACGAATGTCAGAGATTTCCAAAACGGTTCCATACTAAAAACCAAGATAAGTGGTCAACACATTTACCTCAAAATCTCCGGTTGTTGATGGTAATATTGACACCTGGCAGTGGTTTTACAGAACAATTGCATTTCCAAAGCTTTCAATGGGGAAATATAACCGCATTATTTGTTGCTCTCTCTCTACCACTAAAATATCCTTGGCTATCTGTAATGTGTGCGTGTGTCCTTTGAGATATAAATGTTAATTATCAGTGTGCATTCTTGTGTGTTCGTGTGTGTGTGGTAAGCAAATAATGTTTATCGGGTTATGTTGTGAACATATCAAGGTTAAACGTAAATTATGTGATGCATACTTTCAGGCGAATATTGATATGGAGATTTATTTCAAGTTTTATTTATAGAAAAAGGATTTAATTTAAAGAAGTCTTTGCAAAATGTGGATTCTCAAAAGAAAAATTAAGGCATACTTTTAGGATAGTTAAAAATAGGCTCTTGGAAAGAATGATGGTATAAAAAATATAGCATATTTTTAGGATTTATTTTTACAAGAATCTCTATAGATTTTTTGAAAGCCCACAGAGAAGAGGAATTGACAGTCATATGGATTCTTGAAAAAAAAATATTTTTAAAAAATCCACACCTATGGTAGTTACTTGAAAAAACATTTTTAAAAATTCGAATCCTATGGTAGTTACTTTTATTAAAAAAAACACATTTTATAAAATCCACGCCTATGGGAGCTACTTGAAAAAATATTTTTTTAAATCAACGCCTATGGTATCTACTTGAAATAAATATTTTTTATAAAATCCAAGTTTATGATGTCCCGATGGTTTAAGTTCTTTTTTCCTTACAAAACATTGAAAATTGATACCCCTTCACTGGGATCGCAGAGAGGCAAACATTTCAATTTGAATCTCTCGTTTAAAGAATGAAAAACAAACATCCTTCAATATTCACTCACAATCAGGCCTGGCCAAAATCCAATCCACAAATACACTTACAACAAAACCGGGATATTTTGTCAAGTGTAAATCTGAACAGCAACAATAACAACCGCAGGATGTGTGGCAACGCATTAGAATAAATGGCTGAGAAAATATTTGCCAGCCACCCACATAGATGCAAACAAATCGCTGCCAAGAGTGCAGATGGCTATTACCAAAATAGTTGGCAATGGTTGAGTGTGTGTTTCTTTTTTTAAGTACCAAATGTCATGGGATGGCAGGTATTTAAGTAACACCACACACACACTATACCATTGTCACAAAAAAGGATAACTAACAGATTTTTGGCAAACGAAAAAATGATTCATTTTTATGACATTTTTTTCCTCTTTTCCACATTTTAAAAACTTCTATTAAACCCACAATTAATTCTTTTATTTCCATCCCAACATACTCTTCATTAATTTTATCCCTCTCTCTCTCCCTTTTTTCTTTACAGGCGAACGACTCATTCAGTATGCTAGCGAAAATCTAGTCACTGAAGTTTTGATACATCCCCAATACAATACTCTTATACAATGTATGCGCAACATGTTGAGCAGCTTCACCAGGCATCGTCACATCATACATGCCGGCTATACCTTTTCGGGTAATGGTTCCTGGATACTACAGGTGGGTTTTAAAAAACAAACTCAAATTGCCTTAAACCTATACGCTCTAATACTCGCCCTCTCTATCTCTCTCTTTCCCTCTCTTTTGCAGGATGGAACCTTTTCGGTTGGTGACTTTGCCGAAGCTTTCCAAGAACATGATGTCCAAAGAGTTATTCGTGCTTATGCCGATACCATTACCATGAACATCCACTGTGCCGATGCTGGCCTATGGCATACCTTGCCAGACAAAAGTTATGCCCGCCTCTGCAAGATACGCATTAATCCAGTCGATGTCTTGGATACCAGCAGTGAGAGCATAAATGCTTTTATAGGTAAGTAATCCGTTATTACCGGCCGTTACCATTGAGGTTAATTTCCCATCGTAATTGCAGACTATTTGGCTCCCATGTTGGTGCCCACATCCATACGTGAACTACTCGAGACCTCAGACGTTGTTGGCAATATACGCTTCACACATCCCACACTATATGTCTTCCCCGGCGGTCAGGGTGATGCTGCCCTATTTGGCATCAACGGTTTTAATATGTTGGGTAAGTAAAATCGCACCCCCACCCCTCTTACCACAATGGTTTGCTAATCTATTCCTCTTCTCCACCCCCTCCCTGCAGTCGATGGTGGCTTTAATCGCAAGGCCTGCTTTTGGGATTTCGTCCGCCACCTAGATCGTTTGGATGCTGTGCTTATGACCCGCCTCAACAACAGCAACATCCAGGGTCTCAGCTCGGTGGTCGAGCGTAAACGCGATGCGCCCGTTTATCCACAAATCGGCCATTTCTTTTGCAATATACCTGATCGCAAGGGCGGTCTGCCTAGTCCCGATGGTGATAAGGATCGCAATCCACTATTGATAGATCTCTTTGAGAGAGGCCATAATCTAGTCAGTGACTTAAAGTCGTTAGATTTAAAACCACAAACCTGTTATAGAGCACCCGAACCCATTAACCTATACCACAAGGTGGGCCATGGCACCTTGGACATGTACGTCATAAGTCCCTCTCGCGATTCACGCGAAGTCAAGGAGTTCCTGCAGAAATGGAACTCGGGGGATCAGCGACTGTTTGCCGCCCGCGATTCCAAGGATTTCAACTTCCCCCTTCAGAATCTGGTTTCGATTTGCGCCCTGCTTGTCTGGCAGCCAGCCAATCCTGATGACAGCATCACACGTATACTCTTCCCCGGTAGTACGCCCGACTACAAGATCCAAGAAGGTCTGGAAAAAATAAAACACTTGGAATTTATGAAGCATTCAACCTGCACTGCCAAATCAATTGCTCCTGCCATCCAGACTGTCGTCACAACCCGCAAAACTCTGAAATCGGCCATTGAGCCCTCCGGGCCTATAATGCCCTCGAAGCCCGGCAGATTTGTCCCTCCAGCAGCGACAGCGGCCACACTGGCCACCATGCAGCAACAAGACAACAAAATGAAGGAATCAGTCTCCTCGGTTGTGGCCGAAGAGGAGAAGATTGAGAAGATATATCAGGAGGAGGAGGAGAAAATCGCTGCCTTTAAGAAGAAGGAAGATTCAATCGAGACGGCGGATGAACAGGCCGTCGAGACTGGCGACGAAGCTATGCCAGAGCAAATGGCTGAAACTACTAGCAAAGAAGAGGAGGACCAAGTGGACCAGGCCGTAGAAGCCGAAGTCGATAATAAGGAGAGCACAGAAAAGAAGGTTGAGGTTGTCATAGTCAAACCTCAACCCCAGGCTCCACCTCCAGCCAAGGATATAATTGAAACTGCTGCCGAACCCATTAAACCCGCCAAACCGGCCAAAGCTAAGGCTGAAAAGCCCAGGGCCGAAGTCAAGCCCTTGGTACGCTCCCGTATCGATACCCGACCTCCCAAATCAATGGAACGCAAGGTTGCCAAGAAGGACGAAAAGAAGAGTTCGCCAACAGCAACTCCACGAAAACAGGAATCTGCTAAACCACCTACCAGAGAGGTCAAATCCAAAGTTGGCAGCCGTCCAGCTAAGGCCAGTCCCAGCAGTACACCGGCCAAAAGCGCCAAAGAAGCCAATAATCGCAAGGTCTTCGAATCGAAACAGCAGTCCATTAGACAGACATCCACAACCACCTCGAGTACCCGAAGGGAAGTCACACGCACCGCAGTCAGTAGCACTGAGAAACGAGAAACCAAGGCCGCCGAACCTCGTAAGCCTATCTCGAGAAGACCACGTGGTGCATCGCCTTCAAAACGTGCTCCTGGCAGTCCTGTCAAGGCGGTTAAGCCCAAAGCTGCCGATCTTAAGAAAGCCCGCCTGGACAAGGGCGGCACCACCGACTCCAGCCTAGTCTCTACTCCATCCGCCGATGATGCTGCTGCTGCCAAAAAGCTACAAGAACTCACCGCCTCCCAGGAATTGGACGTGGAGAAACAGCGTGAACTAGACGACCTCAAGGAAGAACAAGAGGTGGTGCGGGAAATCGAAGCGGTCTTCTCTCGCGACGAAATGAAACGCCACCAACAAATCAAGGCTGAAATTCGCGAAGTTACAAAACAGGACAGTACAACCGAAGCCGAAGAAGACGACGAGTACTTGATCATTGAAAAGGAGGAAATCACCGAGGACTCCATTGTCGAACAGGAGGAGAGCAGTGTTACCAAAGAGGAGGAAATCCAAAAGCACCAACGCGACTCCCAGGAATCGGAGAAGAAGCGCAAACGCAGTGCCGAAGAGGAGATCGAAGCCGCCATTGCCAAGGTGGAAGCCGAAGAACGCAAGGCTAAACATGAAACTGAGCCCACCGCCCCTCCCTCAGAAACCCCAGAGCCTGATGAAACTGCCCAAGAAGTGGAAGCCGACGAAGCTGAGGAGGCCGAAGCCAAGGAGGAGGCAGAAGAGGCTGAAAAGGAGGCGGATGCTGAGGCCAAGGTGGGACTCACCACTGCCGTCGAATCCGAAATTAAGGCTGAAGTACAGGAAATTATTACTACAGCCAAGGAAATTGTCACTTCCAAAACTGATGAACATCTGGCCAAGACCGAAGAGGATCTATCTTCGGTAACGCCCGACGAACGCATCAGTAGCGCTAAAAAGACGTCCGATACCAAAGATGACTTGGTTGGCATGCCTGTTGAGGTAATCCCAGCCAACCTTCAAGAAAGCCTGCCAGAAGAACGATTCTCTGCCACAATAGAGTCGGGCGCCACTACAGCCCCCACACTGCCCGAAGACGAACGCATCCCATTGGATGAAATCAAAGAAGACCTGGCCATTGAAGAGAAATACGTCAAGGAGGAAACTAAAGAAGTGGAAGCCGTAGTTGCATCCGTAAGTGCCCTGACGTCGATCATTCCTCCATCTGAAACCAGTGCTGAGCCTAAGGAAATTCTGGCTCAGAAATACACGGATCGTATTGTGGCCGGTATTGGAACCGCAGAGCGTATTTTGCCTATCAAAATGGCCTATGATTCCCAACAGATGCGGGACGTTGTTAAAACTCCCGATGAAGTGGCCGACCTGCCCATGCACGAAGAAGCCGACATGGGTATGTATGAAAAGGACGCTCAAGATTCTGGCAAGTCCATCTCCCACAAGGAGGAATTGGCCAAAGAAGAAAAGGAGGAAGAAGAGAAAGTCACCGAAATCGAAGAGGAAGACGAAGAAGTTGAAGAGGAGAAGGATACGAAATTGACAAAGGAAGACGAAGAAGAGGCTCAGGAAACCGTAACAGCCGTCCAACAGGAGGAAGAGTCCAAAGAGAAGGTTCCTTCACCAACCGAAAAGGCTCCTGCCTCTCCAGCTGATGTTAAGGATGCTGAGGAAATCAAGGAGGAAGATACACATGAAGCCGAAGAAACTGCCGTTGAGGTAAAAGAAGAAATCACCGCCGTTAAAGTGGCTGAAGTTAAGGAGGCAAAGAAACCTCTGGCATCACCTGAGGAGAAGGAAGTTAGCGAAATTACATCGGAAGACGAAATTCCACCACAAATGCCAACAACAAAGCCCGGAGCTGAGAAACACGAAGACACCATTTCCGTCGAATGCCCTCCAACAATTGAGGAGGCAATTGAAGTTGAAGTCCAAAAATCGTTGCAAGCCAGCCGCAAGACATCCGTGGAATCCAAGGAGACATCTAAGAAACCCTCAGCCGAAGTTTCTAAAGAAACTTCGCGACGAGAATCTGTATCGGAAAAAGCAGCAGAATCTAAGGAAACATCAAGGCCTGAATCCGCAGTCGACGAAGAAAAATCAGTACACGATTCTAAACAGCCCTTACGACGAGAGTCCATAGCTGATGCCGAGAAAATAAGTAAGTCAAAGGAACCTTCTGAGAGTGCTTCCGTTGGTGAAGCTTCCCGTAAGAGTTCGGTCGAAGAAAGCGAAAAGGCCAAGACATCTGAAGCAGCGTCAAGAGAACCATCTCGGCCTGCTTCGGTAACAGAAAGCGATAAAGTGGAAAAATCTGTTATGGAGAGCGAAAAAGCAGACCTTACCGTAGTTTCACAAAAAACTTCGGTTATAGAGGCCGAAAAGGATCAGAAGATTGCATCTACAGAGGTCTCCAAAGGGCCATCAGAGACTGCATCAGCCGTTGTCAGCGAAAAGGATGAAAAATCGCCAATAGCTTCCAGAAAACCCTCAGTTGCAGAGAGCGAGAAGAAATCTGCTGAAGAATCTAAAGAAACATCTCGACCCACATCCGTGGCTGATAGCAAGGAGGTTGCATCAGCGGCAGTCAGTGAAACGGACGAGAAATCTCCAGTTGAATCGAGGAAACCTTCCGTAGCAGAAAGTGAGAAGAAATATGCCGAAGAGTCCAAGGAGTCTTCAAGACCCACTTCCGTTGCTGAAAGTAAAGATGATGACAAATCTGCAATTGCATCTCGAAAGGAATCAGTGGCCGAAAGCGTTAAGGACGTTAAGTCAACAGAGGCATCCAAGCCAACATCGGAGGCTGTTTCAGCTGCAGTTAGTGAGAAGGACGAAAAATCTCCAATTGCTTCAAGAAAAGCTTCCATAGCCGATAGCGAGAAGAAATCTGCCGAGGAATCCAAAGAAATATCACGACCTACTTCCGTCGCAGAAAGCAAGGAATCCGCATCAGCAGCTATTAGTGAAAAAGATGAGAAATCTCCAGTTGCTTCAAGGAAACCTTCGGTTGCTGAAAGTGATAAGAAATCTGCCGAGGAATCCAAGGAACCATCACGACCTGTTTCCGTGGTAGAAAGCAAAGAGGAAGAGGACGTCAAGTCAATCGAGGCATCAAAGCCAGCTTCAGAGGTTGTGTCAGCTGCCGTTAGCGAAAAAGATGTGAAATCTCCCTTTGCTTCTAGGAAGTCTTCGGTTGCAGATATTGAGAAAAAGTCTGCCGATGAATCCAAAGAACCATCACGACCAACATCAGTCTCTGAAAGCAAAGAAGACGTCAAATCACCAATTGTATCTAGAAAACAGTCTGTTGTCGAAAGCGTAACAGAAGTAAAGTTGACCGAGACATTTACAGAAACAACTAAACGAACATCCGCTGCTGTCAGTGAAAGGGACGAGAAATCACCGATTTCTTCAAGAAAAACTTCAGTTGGTGAAAGCGATATCAAATCTACAGAAGCATCCCGTCCAACATCCGTCGCTGAAAGCAAAGAAGATGAAAAATCCACCACTGCATCACGAAAGGCCTCGGTAGCAGAAAGTGAAAAGAAATCTGCCGAGGAATCCAAGGAAGCTTCCCGACCAACTTCTGTCGCTGAAAGCAAGGAAGAAGAGAAATCTCCCATTGCCTCTCGAAAGGCCTCGGTAGCAGAAAGTGAAATGAAATCTGCCGAGGAATCCAAAGAAGCTTCCCGACCAACTTCTGTCGCTGAAAGCAAGGAAGAAGAGAAATCTCCCATTGCCTCTCGAAAGGCCTCGGTAGCAGAAAGTGAAATGAAATCTGCCGAGGAATCCAAAGAAGCTTCCCGACCAACTTCTGTCGCTGAAAGCAAGGAAGAAGAGAAGTCTCCCATTGCCTCTCGAAAGGCCTCGGTAGCAGAAAGTGAAAAGAAATCTGCCGAGGAATCCAAAGAGGCTTCCCGACCAACTTCTGTCGCCGAAAGCAAGGAAGAAGAGAAATCTCCACTCGCTTCACGAAAGGCCTCGATAGCAGAAAGTGAAAAGAAATCTGCTGAGGAATCCAAGGAGGCTTCCCGACCAACTTCTGTCGCTGAAAGCAAGGAAGAAGAGAAATCTCCCATTGCCTCTCGAAAGGCCTCGGTAGCAGAAAGTGAAAAGAAATCTGCCGAGGAATCCAAGGAAGCTTCCCGACCAACATCCGTTGCTGAAAGCAAGGAAGAAGAGAAATCTCCCATTGCTTCGCGAAAGGCCTCGGTAGCAGAAAGTGAGAAAAAATCTGACGAGGAATCCAAGGAAGCCTCCCGACCAACATCTGTTGCTGAAAGCAAGGAAGAAGAGAAATCTCCCATTGTCTCACGAAAGGCCTCGGTAGCAGAAAGTGAAAAGAAATCTGCCGAAGAATCCAAGGAAGCTTCCCGACCAACATCTGTCGCTGAAAGCAAGGAAGAAGAGAAATCTCCACTCGCTTCACGAAAGGCCTCGGTAGCAGAAAGTGAAAAGAAATCTGCCGAGGAATCCAAGGAAGCTTCCCGACCAACATCTGTTGCTGAAAGCAAGGAAGAAGAGAAATCTCCCATTGTCTCACGAAAGGCCTCGGTAGCAGAAAGTGAAAAGAAATCTGCCGAAGAATCCAAGGAGGCTTCCCGACCAACTTCTGTCGCTGAAAGCAAGGAAGAAGAGAAATCTCCACTCGCTTCACGAAAGGCCTCGGAAGCAGAAAGTGAAAAGAAATCTGCCGAGGAATCCAAGGAAGCTTCCCGACCAACATCTGTCGCTGAAAGCAAGGACGAAGAGAAATCTCCCATTGCTTCAAGAAAAACCTCGGTAGCAGAAAGTGAAAAGAAATCTGCTGAAGAATCCAAGGAAGCTTCCCGACCAACATCCGTTGCTGAAAGCAAGGAAGAAGAGAAGTCTCCACTCGCTTCACGAAAGGCCTCGGTAGCAGAAAGTGAAAAGAAATCTGCCGAGGAATCCAAAGAGGCTTCCCGACCAACATCCGTTGCTGAAAGCAAGGAAGAAGAGAAATCTCCCATTGCCTCACGAAAGGCCTCGGTAGCAGAAAGTGAAAAGAAATCTGCCGAGGAATCCAAGGAAGCTTCCCGACCAACATCTGTTGCTGAAAGCAAGGAAGAAGAGAAATCTCCCATTGTCTCGCGAAAGGCCTCGGTAGCAGAAAGTGAAAAGAAATCTGCCGAGGAATCCAAGGAGGCTTCCCGACCAACTTCTGTCGCTGAAAGCAAGGAAGAAGATAAATCTCCCATTGCCTCACGAAAGGCCTCGGTAGCAGAAAGTGAAAAAAAATCTGCCGAGGAATCTAAAGATGCTTCCCGACCAACTTCTGTTGCTGAAATCAAGGAAGAAGAGAAATCTCCCATTGCCTCGAGAAAAGCCTCGATAGCAGAAAGTGATAGGAAATCCGCTGAGGAATCCAAGGAAGCTTCCCGACCAACTTCTGTTGCTGAAATCAAGGAAGATGAAAAATCTCCACTCGCTTCACGAAAGGCCTCGGTAGCAGAAAGTGAAAAGAAATCTGCCGAGGAATCCAAGGAAGCTTCCCGACCAACATCTGTCGCTGAAAGCAAGGAAGAAGAGAAGTCTCCACTCGCTTCACGAAAGGTCTCGGTAGCAGAAAGTGAAAAGAAATCTGCCGAGGAATCCAAGGAAGCTTCCCGACCAACATCCGTTGCTGAAAGCAAGGAAGAAGAGAAGTCTCCCATTGCCTCACGAAAGGCCTCGGTAGCAGAAAGTGAAAAGAAATCTGCCGAGGAATCCAAGGAAGCTTCCCGACCAACATCCGTTGCTGAAAGCAAGGAAGAAGAGAAATCTCCCATTGCCTCACGAAAGGCCTCGGCAACAGAAAGTGAAAAGAAATCTGACGAGGAATCCAAGGATGCTTCCCGACCAACTTCTGTCGCTGAAAGCAAGGAAGAAGAAAAATCTCCCATTGCCTCACGAAAGGCCTCGGTAGCAGAAAGTGAAAAGAAATCTGCCGAGGAATCCAAGGAAGCTTCCCGACCAACATCCGTTGCTGAAAGCAAGGAAGAAGAAAAATCTCCCATTGCCTCGCGAAAGGCTTCGGTAGCAGAAATTGAAAAGAAATCTGCCGAGGAATCCAAGGAAGCTTCCCGACCAACTTCTGTCGCTGAAAGCACGGAAGAAGAAAAATCTCCCATTGCCTCGCGAAAGGCTTCGGTAGCAGAAAGTGAAAAGAAATCTGCCGAGGAATCCAAGGAAGCTTCCCGACCAACATCCGTTGCTGAAAGCAAGGAAGAAGAAAAATCTCCCATTGCCTCGCGAAAGGCTTCGGTAGCAGAAAGTGAGAAAAAATCTGCCGAGGAATCCAAAGAAGCTTCCCGACCAACATCCGTTGCTGAAAGCAAGGAAGAAGAAAAATCTCCCATTGCCTCACGAAAGGCCTCGGTAACAGAAAGTGAAAAGAAATCTGCCGAGGAATCCAAGGAAGCTTCCCGACCAACGTCCGTTGCTGAAAGCAAGGAAGAAGAGAAATCTCCCTCGGTAGCAGAAAGTGAAAAGAAATCTGCCGAGGAATCCAAGGAAGCTTCCCGACCAACTTCTGTCGCTGAAAGCAAGGAAGAAGAGAAGTCTCCACTCGCTTCACGAAAGGCCTCGGTAGCAGAAAGTGAAAAGAAATCTGCCGAGGAATCCAAGGAAGCTTCCCGACCAACTTCTGTCGCTGAAAGCAAGGAAGAAGAGAAGTCTCCACTCACTTCACGAAAGGCCTCGGTAACAGAAAGTGAAAAGAAATCTGCCGGGGAATCCCAGGAAGCTTCCCGACCAACATCTGTCGCTGAAAGCAAGGAAGAAGAGAAATCTCCCATTGCCTCACGAAAGGCCTCGGTAGCAGAAAGTGAAAAGAAATCTGCCGATGAATCCAAGGATGCTTCCCGACCAACTTCTGTCGCTGAAAGCAAAGAAGAAGAAAAATCTCCCATTGCTTCAAGAAAAGCCTCGGTAGCAGAAAGTGAAAAGAAATCTGCCGATGAATCCAAGGAAGCTTCCCGACCAACGTCCGTTGCTGAAAGCAAGGAAGAAGAGAAGTCTCCACTCGCTTCACGAAAGGCCTCGGTAGCAGAAAGTGAAAAGAAATCTGCCGAGGAATCCAAAGAAGCTTCCCGACCAACATCTGTCGCTGAAAGCAAGGAAGAAGAGAAATCTCCCATTGCCTCGAGAAAGGCCTCGGTAGCAGAAAGTGAAAAGAAATCTGCCGAGGAATCCAAGGAAGCTTCCCGACCAACATCTGTCGCTGAAAGCAAGGAAGAAGAGAAATCTCCGATTACCTCACGAAAGGCCTCGGTAGCAGAAAGTGAAAAGAAATCTGCCGAGGAATCCAAGGAAGCTTCCCGACCAACTTCTGTCGCTGAAAGCAAGGAAGAAGAGAAATCTCCCATTGCCTCGAGAAAGGCCTCGGTAGCAGAAAGTGAAAAGAAATCTGCCGAGGAATCCAAGGAAGCTTCCCGACCAACATCTGTCGCTGAAAGCAAGGAAGAAGAGAAATCTCCCATTGCCTCGAGAAAGGCCTCGGTAGCAGAAAGTGAAAAGAAATCTGCCGAGGAATCCAAGGAAGCTTCCCGACCAACTTCTGTCGCTGAAAGCAAGGAAGAAGAGAAATCTCCGATTACCTCACGAAAGACCTCGGTAGCAGAAAGTGAAAAGAAATCTGCCGAGGAATCCAAGGATGCTTCCCGACCAACTTCTGTCGCTGAAAGCAAGGAAGAAAAAAAATATCCCAAGGAAGAAGAAAAATCTCCCATTGCCTCACGAAAGGCCTCGGTAGCAGAAAGTGAAAAGAAATCTGCCGAGGAATCCAAGGAAGCTTCCCGACCAACATCTGTCGCTGAAAGCAAGGAAGAAGAGAAATCTCCCATTGCCTCACGAAAGGCCTCGGTAGCAGAAAGTGAAAAGAAATCTGCCGAGGAATCCAAGGAAGCTTCCCGACCAACTTCTGTCGCTGAAAGCAAGGAAGAAGAGAAATCTCCGATTACCTCACGAAAGACCTCGGTAGCAGAAAGTGAAAAGAAATCTGCCGAGGAATCCAAGGAAGCTTCCCGACCAACTTCTGTCGCTGAAAGCAAGGAAGAAGAGAAATCTCCCATTGCCTCACGAAAGGCCTCGGTAGCAGAAAGTGAAAAGAAATCTGCCGAGGAATCCAAGGAAGCTTCCCGACCAACATCTGTCGCTGAAAGCAAGGAAGAAGAGAAATCTCCCATTGCCTCACGAAAGGCCTCGGTAGCAGAAAGTGAAAAGAAATCTGCCGAGGAATCCAAGGAAGCTTCCCGACCAACTTCTGTCGCTGAAAGCAAGGAAGAAGAGAAATCGGTAGCAGAAAGTGAAAAGAAATCTGCCGAGGAATCCAAGGAAACTTCCCGACCAACTTCTGTCGCTGAAAGCAAGGAAGAAGATAAGTCTCCCATTGCTTCGCGAAAGGTCTCGGTAGCAGAAAGTGAAAAGAAATCTGCCGAGGAATCCAAGGAAGCTTCCCGACCAACATCCGTTGCTGAAAGCAAGGAAGAAGAGAAATCTCCCATTGCCTCACGAAAGGCGTCGGTAGCAGAAAGTGAAAAGAAATCTGCCGAGGAATCCAAGGAAGCTTCCCGACCAACTTCTGTCGCTGAAAGTAAGGAAGAAGATAAATCTCCCATTGCTTCTCGAAAGGTCTCGGTAGCAGAAAGTGAAAAGAAATCTGACGAGGAATCCAAGGAAGCTTCCCGACCAACATCCGTTGCTGAAAGCAAGGAAGAAGAGAAATCTCCCATTGCCTCACGAAAGGCCTCGGTAGCAGAAAGTGAAAAGAAATCTGCCGAGGAATCCAAGGAAGCTTCCCGACCAACATCCGTTGCTGAAAGCAAGGAAGAAGAGAAATCTCCCATTGCCTCACGAAAGGCGTCGGTAGCAGAAAGTGAAAAGAAATCTGCCGAGGAATCCAAGGAAGCTTCCCGACCAACATCCGTTGCTGAAAGCAAGGAAGAAGAGAAATCTCCCATTGCCTCACGAAAGGCGTCGGTAGCAGAAAGTGAAAAGAAATCTGCCGAGGAATCTAAGGAATCTTCCCGACCAACTTCTGTCGCTGAAAGCAGGGAAGAAGAGAAATCCCCCTCGGTAGCAGAAAGTGAAAAGAAATCTGCCGATGAATCCAAGGAAGCTTCACGGCCAACATCTGTCGCTGAAAGCAAGGAAGAAGAGAAATCTCCCATTGCCTCACGAAAGGTCTCGGTAGCAGAAAGTGAGAAAAAATCTGCCGAGGAATCTAAAGAAGCCTCGAGAAAGGCCTCGGTAGCAGAAAGTGAAAAGAAATCAGCCGAGGAATCCAAGGAAGCCTCGAGAAAGGCCTCGGTAGCAGAAAGTGAGAAAAAATCTGCCGAAGAATCCAAGGAAGCTTCCCGACCAACGTCCGTTGCTGAAAGCAAGGAAGAAGAGAAATCTCCCATTGCCTCACGAAAGGCTTCGGTAGCAGAAAGTGAAAAGAAATCTGCCGAGGAATCTAAAGAAGCTTCCCGACCAACATCTGTCGCTGATAGCAAGGAAGAAAAGAAATCTCCCATTGTCTCGCGAAAGGCCTCGGTAGCAGAAAGTGAAAAGAAATCTGCGGAGGAATCTAAGGAAGCTCACCGACCAACTTCTGTTGCTGACAGCAAGGGAGAAGAGAAATCTGCCGAAGAATCCAAGGAAGCTTCCCGACCAACATCTGTCGCTGAATGCAAGGAAGAAGAGAAATCTCCACTCGCTTCACGAAAGGCCTCGGTAGCAGAAAGTGAGAAAAAATCTGCCGAGGAATCCAAGGAAGCTTCCCGACCAACATCTGTCGCTGAAAGCAAAGAAGAAGACAAATCTGTTGCGACCAGTGGATTGACATTAAAGACTGTTTATCCCGTCATTATTGATACCATCTCCTCCCCCATTGATGAAGCCGGCGATATGAAAAATAAGAAGGAAGAGTTTACTTTGGATCTTGAATCTGCAACACAGGATGGAAAATTACCAACTTCGTCCAGTCCCGTCGATGTTGCTGAAGGTGACTTCCTAGCTGCAGGAGACGATTCTAGCAAAGTATCGGAACATCAGGCGGCAGATGTTGACATATCCGCAACTGTTTCGACACCTGTTGACAAAGCTGATGTTTTCACCGAAGAAATTGAAAAACTGATTATGTCTGAAAAGACTTCCCCTGCGGAAAAGAGTTCACCAGTTGAAAAAGTTTCTTCTGCTGAAAAGACGTCCCCAGCGGAAAAGGTTTCCCCTGTTGAAAAGATTTCCCCCAGTCACGTTGAAACCATGTCGTCGCCAATCGACGATGCCACTAAAACGATAGAAGAAATCATAATGAAGAAGGAGGATTTCACTCTACAGCTCTCTGCTACTGAAGTCGTTGGACAATTGCCAACATCTTCCAGTCCAGTTGATGTGGCCGATGGCGACTTCGAGAAGGAAGTGGAGAAAACTGAAGATGTCGCCGATACAAAGTTCGCTGTTAAAGATACAGTGTCAACCCCAGTTGATGAAGCCGCAGAATCTATTGCCGAGGATGAGAAGAAGAAGGATGAAGATTCGCCATCTCCCAAATCGAAGGGAATTTTCGAATCCATAACCGGTATCGTTAAAGATATCTTTACCAAGGAATCCGAAGCCGTTACTGAGGCGGTTACAGCCATCGAAACAACCGTCGATCATTTGACAGAGGACATTGCTAAGAAATCTGACGACATCAGCGAATCTGAACTTGCAATCGAGTCTAGAATTGAAGACGTCAAAGATCATGCCAAGTCCTTGTTGGACATTTCATCGAAACTTGAAATACTCAAAGATTCTGCCGCTCATGCTTCGGAAGCAGTTAGTGAAAAAGCAGTCGAAGCTGAAGAAAAGGCCAAGGAAATTCTAAAATCTGAAGCATCCGCTATCAAGGACGAAGTCGAAATCATTGCGAAAACTACTGAAGAATCCGTTAAAGAAGCCAAGGCAACAATCGAGTCGAAAACTATTTCAACCGAAGAAATTGTCAAAACAGTGTCCGAGTCCTTGGACGAAAAGATTTCCGACTTGAAACAGACTACCGAACAAGTTTTAGCCGAAGCAAAGGAGTCGATTGTCACCAAAGCAGAAGAAATTAAAGAGTCAACCGAAACCGTGGTTTCAGAAATCGCAGAAACGGTTTCGCAAACCAAAGAAACAATTGACCAGCAAGTTACATCGGTGACTGAAGAATTCTCCAGTAAGGTCGACGATATCAAAGAAAAATCTCAAGAAGTTACAAAAATGGTATCAGAATCGGTTACGGAAAAGGTTGAAGAGACAAAAACCAAGGTTGAAGAATTGAAGGAATCGGTTGCTACTTCCATCGAAAAATCTATTGAAGAAGTGACAGAATTGAAAGAACAAGTCGTTGAAGAAGTAAAGGAAACTGTGGCCTCATCAACGGAAGCAGTTGTCGAAAAGACAGCCACAATTATCGAGGATACAAAGACTGTTGCCGAAACAGTAGTTAAGGATGTTAAGGAGTCAATGGCCTCGTCAGCGGAAACCATTACCGAAAAGACCGCCACAATTGTCGAGGATACCAAGACCGCTGTCGAAACAATCGCTGAAGACGTTAAGGAGACTGTGTCCTCATCAGCCGAAGCAATTACCGAAAAGACAGCCACAGTTGTCGAAGATGCCAAGACCGTCACGGAATCAGTAACAAAAGACGTAAAGGATTCTGTTGCCGACAAAGTCGAAGTGGTTGAAGAAATTACTAAAACTACAATTGATACATTGAGCCACGAATTAAAATCTGCAACGACCGATTCCTTAGGATTTACTACCGAACTTCGTGAAACACATATCACAACAATGGACACATCGCCCGACCTTAAGATTACCGTTGTCGATAAAGAAGAGCCAATTTTGCATGACATCAAAGAAGAGGATGAGGAGCATAGAACTAGTCCACCTTCAGATGTGACCCCAGTATTGGGTGAGGTTGCCGTACCCAGGCCTGTGTCTCCACGGGAGGTTGAAGTCTTCAAAATTGTCGCCGATGTTGCCAAGGTCTTGAAATCGGAGAAAGATATAACCGAGATCATTCCAGACTTTGATGAAAAAGAATTGGAGGAGAAACTCAAATCGGTGGAAGAACCCGAGGGACCAACAGTCCAGAGAATGCTAGTTACGGCCAGTAGTGAAGATGGCGGAGAGGAGACAGAAATCTGTCCTAAAGGTTCCATTCAATTCACTCCAGCACCCATTGCTGAAGTACCCAGCGAAAAAGACAAACCGGTCCTTGACAAGGTCCCAAAGACGGAAATTGAATCTGAAAAATCATCTCCCGATCTGAAATCGTCAGGACCTGCTTCAATCGAAGAAAAGGACAAGATTGAAGAGTCCGAAAAGGCTCAACTACGAGGAAAACGCGACGTGAGTGGCCGTAAAGAATCCACATCCAGCATGGAACTGGAATGGAGAAGAGAATCGGCCATAAGTGCCTACAGTGAGAAGGATTTGACCAAAGACGAAGATACCTTCGATAGCAAAGCTGATTTCTCCTCAAGCCCATTCGAAGATAAGGACAGACCAGACTCCGCAGCCAGTCAGATTTCATCCAAGGACAAAGAATTGCCACATGAGGCTGAGGAATCAGTCAAGGACATGAAACCAGAAAGCAGAAAAGAATCGCTATTGTCCACAACCGAAGAAGAGACAAAAGAAACTGCAGTTTCGCCCTCTGCCTCTGTTGCCAGTGAAAAGGAATCGGCACTGCCTGCAGACAAATCACCTGTCACATCCGACACCAAGGATATCTCACGTCCTGTTTCCGAAGCCAGTGCCAAGGCTGAGGACGAAAAACAAGTATCCCGACCAGAATCCGTTGCTTCACAGGCCGAAAGTAAAGCTAGCGATAAATCAGAACAAAAGGAAATTTCTCGTCCAGTTTCGGTAACCAGTCACGCCACAGATATTGCTGAGGCTATGTCGAGAAAGGAATCTGTAATTTCAACTACAGAAGAAAAGGTTACTTCTGATGTAGCTTCACGAAAAGAATCGATTGTTTCCACTACTGACGAAAAACAAGCTTCACGGCCAGAATCTGTTGTGTCGCAAGCCGAAAGTAAAGTCAGTGAGAAATCTGGTTTATCGGAACAAAAAGAATCATCACGACCGGTCTCTGTGACCAGTCATGCTGATGTCACAGATGTTGCCGAGGATAAAGCCACTTCAAGAAAGGAATCAATTGTTTCTACTGCCGAAGAAAAACTTGCATCGCGACCAGAATCTGTTGTCTCGCAAGCAGAAAGCAAAGCTAGCGAAAAATCGGAATTACCCACAGATATTCCAGATTCCGCTGAAGCTGTGTCCAGAAAAGAATCGATGATTACAACTACCGAAGAGAAGGATACTTCAGATATGGCTTCCCGAAAGGAATCAACAGTTTCTGTTGCTGCTGACGAAAAAATATCATCACGACCGGAATCGGTTGTCTCACAAGCCGAAAGTAAAGCTAGCGAAAAATCAGCTATTTCCGAACAAGTGGAAGGCGTTACTGAGGCCACATCAAGAAAAGAATCCGTGGTTTCAACAGCTGAGGAGAAGGTCACGGAAGAAATCGTGGCATCTAGACCAGGATCAGTTGTATCGCAAGCTGAAAGCAAAGCTAGTGAAAAATCGAGCGTCACCGAACAGAAGGAAACATCGCGTCCAACTTCTGTTGCCAGTCACACTGATGTCGCTGAGGCGGTGTCCAGAAAGGAATCTGTAATTTCAACTGCCGAGGAGAAGGTCATGTCAGATGTATCTTCCAGAAAAGAATCGGTTATTTCCACTGCTGAGGAAAAAGTAGAAACTCGCCCAGAATCGGTTGTCTCACAAGCTGAAAGTAAAGTCAGCGAAAAATCGGCCGCATCTGAACTTAAGGATGGCGACATCTCAAGGAAGGAATCTGTAGCCTCAATAGCTGCTGAAAAGGTCACTGACGAGAAACAAGCATCTCGACCAGAATCGGTTGTCTCACAAACTGAAAGCAAAACTAGTGACAAATCGGGCGTCACAGAACAAAAGGAATCTGATGTCGCTGAGGCGGTGTCAAGGAAGGAATCTGTAATTTCAACAGCCGAGGAAAAGGTCACCTCAGATGTGCCTTCTCGTAAAGAATCGATTGTTTCCACTGCTGACGAAAAAGTAGAAACTCGCCCAGAGTCGGTTGTCTCACAAGCTGAAAGTAAAGTTAGCGAAAAATCGGCCGCATTCGAACAACATGCCGATGACATCTCTAGGAAAGAATCTGTAGCCTCAATTGCTGCTGAAAAGGTCACTGACGAGAAACTAACATCTCGCCCAGAATCGGCTGTCTCACAAGCCGATAGCAAGGTTAGTGAAAAATCTGAACAAAAAGTTGATTCCCGTCCAGTCTCTGTTGCTAGCCATGCTACAGATATTGCGGATGTAATGTCTAGAAAGGAATCCATTATCTCCACTACCGAAGAGAAGGAATCTGTAATTTCTGCAGCCGATGAAAAACCAACTTCAAGGCCAGAATCGGCAGTCTCACAGCCTGAAAGCAAAACTAGTGAAAAATCTGCAGCATCTGAAGAAAAAGAATTCGTCACAGATACCTTGTCCCGAAAAGAATCCACGATTTCATCTCCAGATGTGACATCAAGAAAAGAATCGGTTGTTTCGGCTGCTGATGAAAAACAGGCATCCCGACCTGAATCGGTTGTGTTCCAAGCAGAAAGCAAGACCAGTGAAAAATCAGGCGCCACCGAACAAAAAGATGTTTCACGCCCAGCCTCTGTTACCAGCCACGCTGATGTTACAGATGTCGCTGATGCCGTATCCAGAAAAGAATCTGTGGTTTCAACCACTGAAGAAAAAATTACCACAGATGTTGCTTCAAGGAAAGAATCGGTTGCTAGCGACAAACCAACATCGAGACCAGAGTCAGTTGTATCTCAAGCCGAGAGCAAAGCCAGTGAAAAATCTGCTGTATCTGAAGAAAAAGAAGACGCTTCTGGTGTCATATCGAGAAAAGAATCCGTAGTTTCAACAGCTGATGAGAAAATTACAGAGGAAATCGCAGCCTCTAGACCTGAATCAGTTGTTTCCCAAGCCGAAAGCAAAGCCAGTGAAAAATCTGAACTTAAGGATACTTCTGTCACAGACGTAGCTGATTCAATATCCAGAAAAGAATCTGTAATTTCAACTGCAGAGGAAAAGGTTTCTCCAGGTGCTGCCTCAAGAAAGGAATCAGTTGTTGATGAGCAACAAGCATCAAGACCCGAATCGGTTATTTCTCAGGCAGAAAGTAAAACAAGCGAAAAATCTGCTGCATCCGAACAAAAAGAAGATGCCACATCCAGAAAGGAATCCGTAATTTCAACTACTGAAGACAAGGTCACTTCCGAGGTTGCCTCCAGGAAAGAGTCCATTATCTCTGCCGCAGAATCGGTTGCCTCACATGCCGAAAGTAAGACCAGCGAACAATCTGCAGCATCTGAGCAAAAGGATGCCTCACGTCCCATCTCTGTTGTCAGCCATACGAGCGAAGTCGTCGATATCACATCACGTAAGGAGTCTGTTACATCAGCAGCTGAAGCTTCAGAGGTTGTGTCACGCAAAGAATCCATTGTTTCTACAGCTCAAGAACAGGTGGCTTCCGAAGCTGGCGATGTAAGCTCCCGCAAAGAATCTATAATTTCCACAACAGTGGATCAAAAGTCGTCAAGACCCGAATCGGTAATATCACAGGCCGAAAGCAAGGCTAGCGAGAAGGTTGAGAGCAAGGTGGCATCACCAACTGAATCCGCGGCTAGCCACAAGGAAGATGCCCAAGACACCAAAACAGAAGTCAAGGAAACCATCACTAGTAGCAGCACATCCTTAACGGATGCAGCCAAAGAATCGGCTGAAAAGATCTCCACAATTGTCACCACCACCACCATAATCTCATCGGCCAGCGAAAAACAAGAAAGGCAGGCATCCGCCCTCTCCAGCAGCAGCACGGAAAGCAAACAAATTGTCACAGAGACAAGCCGCCTGTTGGCCAGTGAAATTGCCAAGGCTTCCAGCGAGTCGCTCAGTGAATCCCTAAAGAGCGTTAAGGTTGAAGTTGGTTCCCTACACGAATCCGTCTCCAGCCTTGCCGCAGACAAAGAAACCTCAAAGACTATTGAACGCGTCGAGTCTTTGACACATGGCGAAGATTCCCAAGCCTACTCCGAGGAATGTTCTTCCGAATCCATGGTTAGTGAAATCCAAACCTCAACTCAAACAAAACAGAAATCGGAGAGCTCTTCGGTATCGCTTGCCGAATCCTCAGTCAAGGAGAGCCTCAAACAGACTGTTGAAGAATTCCTGGCTACCGAAAAAATCATATCCACCAAGGAGAGCATGAGCACCCACGAAGCCATCACCAAGTCAAAGGCCGGCACATCTACCACCGTGACAACGACCATCTCTGATAGCAGACGTGCATCAGCCATGAGTCAAGCCAGCGAGGGTCGCCAAACACACAGTGACGTTGAAGACGAGTCGGAGGACGACGAAGAGAAGGCCCACATCAAGGAGGGACGTTCCAAGTCATTTGCCAATATAATGACAACCAGCATTTACAAGCCATCCGAACAGGTCAGCGCTGCCGAAACTCTGGAAGAAGAGGAGACATTGGAGGAAACACTGGCACAAATGAAAACTTCATCGGTACAAATGTCCAGCACCAGTACCAGCAGTCAACAGAAATCCCAGACTCTGACGCAGAAGGAATCGTTAACATTGGCCCAGACCTATGAACATGAACTGGCCGATCGCAAAACACCACCCACAGCTCCAGTTAGCCCCGGTATTATTAAGACTACCACCACCACAACTACCGTTGGTGGAGCAGCAGCTACAACTGGCACAAAAATTGCCTTGACTGAGACCACCACCACTACCAGCACTTCGGCGACTACTGCTCACAGTGGCCCACTGTCACCCAAGGACATTAGCGGCAAATCAAGTCCCGGCGCATTGACTTCTGAGAGCCAATCGATACCAACCCCCATGGGTAGAGAATCGCTGACTGAAACTCCAGAATCTTCGCCCAAGCCCACATCACCCTTCCCTCGAGTCACGAAGGAAGAGTTGTCGTCGTCAGCTGCCACATTTGGAACTACCGAACAACAGGCGGAATCAAGCGCCTCGTCGACAGCCATGTCGGCCATGACCACGTCCATGTTGCGCAAGGACTTCGAAACCCTGCCCGATTTACACGAAGTGCGTGGCATCGAAAAGACAGCCGCCCTCAGCGGCAGTACTGAAAAAATCATAACCACCACCATCACCACGGTGACCAAAGTCATATCGACCGATGGCAAGGAAATCGTCACCGAAGAAAAGACAATCACAACCACAGACTCGACAGATCCCGAGGGCGAGAAGGTCACGGTGACCACCACACGTACCACCAGCGAAAGTGACAAGAGTGACGTGATCTTGCCCAAAGAAGTGGCTATGCTGCGCAGCATGTACCGGTCTTCCACACCCGGCAGTGACGACACCAGCGACGACGAGGTACCCGCCTCGCCCCACTCAACTGGTTCCTTTGCCGGTGCCAGCAGCTACGATTTACAGCGGTCCGGCTCGGGCGTGAGTAAACGTTCCGACTTCGAAATAGACGAAAGTCAGGATGACATACCACCCCAATACGAAGAAGTCTCTGCCGCCAGATCAATTACCTCCAGCAGTCATTTCGCCCACAAGATTGTCGATCCAATGAGCACCTCATTCTACGGAGCACTGCCAGACTCATTCGATACCAAACCAACCTCCGCCACCCAACCCATAACAATTCAGGGCGCCACACAACGCCTACAAGACTTTGCTGAATCGCCGATGTCTCAGTCCTCGGGCTCGGTGGATAGCACACGACACACGGGCGGTGACATTAAATTCCTCGAGGAGGCCGAGATGGGTTTCAAGCAGGCCCTCAAGGAACACGTTGAGCTGCGTGGAGCCGACGTGATGTCATCGGTAACAGCCAAGTATTCCTACTCGCCCTCAAAGGCCGAGGAAGTGGAGCAGACAGTAAGCAGCGCCGAACAGCCCAAGTTCCCCTTGAGCAGTGTACAGAAACCCAAATTCTCGGAGGGAGCAACCACCACAATGACCTCAGTGGAAACGACACAGGATGGCGATGGCAAATCAACCACCGTGACGACAACCACAACGACCAGCCAATCGTCGACAGGTGCCGGAGCCACAAGCCGCATCACCGCCACAGAAACCACAACGTCTACCCAGTCCAGTTCGTCGACCACCACCACAAGTGTTGATGACAAACTCAAGGAATGGGGCAAACCATTGGGTCTGCCCTCGCCCGCACCCATGGCTGCCGAGGGTAGTGGTGATGTCCGCACCACACCCAAAAAGGAGAGACGACTGATGGCCACCAAGACTCGCCTGAACAACGAGAAGAATTTGCGTAAACGTTCCGAATCGCCCAGCAAAGCCAAGAAGCCCTCACCCGTCTATGTGGACTTGACCTATGTGCCACACAATGGCAATTCCTATTACTCGCACGTGGAGTTCTTTAAGAGGGTGCGAGCCCGCTACTATGTGTTCTCAGGTACCGAACCCAGCCGCCAGGTGTACGATGCCTTGTTGGAGGCAAAACAAACCTGGGAGGATAAAGAATTAGGTGAGTATATGGGGGAATTGGAATTCTTTGGCTGGGAAAACTTATTGTTGTTGTTTTTGTTCTCCTTACAGAGGTAACTATCATTCCCACCTACGACACCGACGTCCTGGGCTATTGGGTAGCTGAAAACGAAGAACTGCTGGCCAAATACCGCATCGATCTCTCGCCATCAGCCTCACGGTGTACCATTAACCTGCAGGATCACGAGACATCTTGCTCCGCTTACCGTTTGGAATTCTAGGCCACGGGGATGTTTGTAGCGTTTTCGGAAAATTAAGTTTCAAAATTCAGTTATCGTGTAATAGAGACAACACTATGAACGACCGACCGACACAAAAACAGAACAAAAAACAAGAAATAACCACAAAAAGCTAGTAGTACTAATCTCTCAGATAAGAAACAACAACAACAATTCATACTCACTCAAATAAAAACAAAACAAAAAATTACTGCTGCTGATGATGATGGCTTACCGAACAAAAGCTTTACTTTTAACGACGAAGACAACGGGAAAAAAGGCAAAGCTTATTTTCGTAATACCGTCACTCAGGCGAAGACGACGATGATACTCACACACACACACGACCGATTACTGCAAATAAGCAAGCCAATAAAGCTTTTGCATGATGGCAAAAGTTCTATTGTTGCCGAAAGCCGGTGAAAGCTCACAAGTCCTCACTTTTTTGGGAATTTTTGAAAAACAGAAAAAGAAACTGAAAAACGAATATGGCGGGGTTTTATGACGGGCCTAAATGCAAGCTCGTTTTTGTTTCTCAGCGGACCGCTTATTTGTTTTTGTAATGCAAGCGACAGCCACATGAAAAAAAAGAAACGTTAAGCTTAGATTATTTTGAGTTCATTTGAAAAAAAACAAAGGACTTTGAGTTTACAGATTTTAATTTACGAAAAATAAAGAAAAAACAACAACAATGATAAACTAAAGAAAAAATAAATAGAGCAGGGGCAAACCAAATAAAAAATAAAATAAAACAGGAAGAATACAAAACAACAAAAAAAACTATTTTCATGTAGACATTTAGCAAAGTAAATAATATAATTAAAAAAAATCATTTTCAAATGTTATAAAAAAATACAAACAAACATTTTTCTATATATAACTACGTTTTCATTCTGAATAACCATTTAAACGAGCTAAAACGAACCCAAAGATGTTATCTATGATTTTTTATATCATCAAGTCAAAATCCAAAATATATCCCTTTGAATCAGGTCAAATTGAAAATTAATTACAAAAAAAAAATAACTTAACACCTCTAATGAACCAAAAATAAATTAAATGAAATTAATTATTGTATATGGTTTAACCCCAAACCAAAAAAAAAAAAAAATAAAAAAATAACAACAACAAACGATATTGAAATTTAAATCAAAAAAAATCCAATGTAAACCAAATACATTATTAATTATATATATAGAAATGAGTATATTATATATGTCTTTGAATGTGAAACAAAGTATTAAACAAAAAGAACATTATTATAATTAAAAAAAATATATTATAATTAAAAAAATATATAAAAATTATTTTCATTTAAATATTTTATAATTTATTAAAAATTAAAAAATGGAAATATATATTTTTTACTTTGTTTTAGAAAATATATTTTCCAATTTTTTTTAATAAATTATAAAATATTTAAAATCATTTTTTTATATAACTACATGATATTAATATATATATATAATTTTATGAGTTTTTCCAAAGATTTCTTATAATTTATATAAAAAAATACAATAGATTAAAAATGCAAGGTTTTAGAAAATGAAAAATTAAAAAATTATTCTTTAAAAATTTTTTAAAAAATGTTTAAAAACTAATTTTTTATTGTCTAAGCCTTTGCATTTCTATTTTATTATTTTTGAACTTTCTTATAAACAAAAAGTATTATTGCTGTACTTCAACAAGAAAAAATGGAAACAAACCAAATATGTGTTGTTAAAAAAAAACTACATAATAAAATTTTGAAACAACAAAAAATAGATTTATAAAAAAAAAATATGTGCCTCTCTCCAAGAAGAAGCCACGAATTTTTTTCTTAAACAAAAAATATTTAATATTTATTTATTTAATTTAAAATTTTTTGTACTTATTTTTATAAACAAAAAATTACCACAAGAATATTTTACAAAATCATAAACGAAAAAAACATTAATGTAATATTTTTCAGTTCCTTAATTTTCAAATACATTATATATACATACATATTTAACAATAAAAACCAAATATTTATAATTTTTTGTAAACAAACAATTGGATTTTTATTATTTTTATGATTTTTTCCAAAAAAAAAAACAAAAAACGCTTTTTAACTGGGCATATGATTTTTTGCATGGAAGAAATTGAATAGAAAAAGAAAACCAAACGGGATGATAGTTAGTAATAAATACAATAAAAAATGAAAACTAAAGCTTAGGTCAACAAATGAAGATTTAAAAGAAAAAGGTAAAAAGGATTTTATTTTAGACAACAACAAAAGCAGAAAAGGTAAAGAAATAACAAAAAAAATAGTTTAGAAAGTAACTAAGAGACAAAACAATAATCACAATAAACAAACAGGTAATGATAAAAACTTAAAAAATTATAAAAATATATATAAATTTTTTAAGTTTTGTAACATTACAACTAAATTACTTTTTTTACATTTTTCATAACAGCTTCAAAGAAATTGTTAAGGAATTAGAAATGGTGAAATCATTACAAAAAAAAACAATAATATAAACACAATACAAACATACATACACCTTTTTTAAACATAAATAATGTTTGAAAAAAACCAAACAATTTTATCTTTGTCTAGAATGCCAAGGAAAATGGAAAAACAATTTGCTAGCCACAAATCATGGTATGAAAAATTGCACCGGAAAAGAGAAAAGAAATTGAAAAAAAATAAACATAAAATAGTTTAAGTCCAAATAAAGTCATACATAAACACACAAAAAACCAACAACAAACCAAAATTTATCATAAACCTAACAACAACAAACAAAGGCTTTTTAAAATATAACCATTTTTTTGCAGCAAAGAATACAAACAAAAAACCAACAACAACAATTTAGGTAACAAATTTAGAAATTGAAATTTTATTAAAAATACAAAAACAAAATAAAAATAATAAAAACAAAAGAAAATAATTAACACAAACCAAACTGGCTACCGTCCAGTACAGAGTTCTCAGAGAATAAAAATAATAACAAATAGAGAATGAGTGAGGCGTATACATAACGTCGACAGGTATACGCCCTAGGGTAACAAATCGAATATTTCCTATTTTAAGTGTCAGCAAGGGACGAGAAAATAAATTATGATTTCGGTACTAGGATTTGAAAGGATTTTTTAAGGGATTTAAAGGACATTTCTTAAAAATTAACAACAAGAGGAAATTCTGGGCCTAAATTGCCAAAAAAAAGATAAATTAAAACAAGATGTTTTATTTAGCAAAGTTTTGGGCTCATATTTCGTTGATTTATATTAAAGATAGAAATTTCCTTTTAAAGGTGACTTATAGTAAAATTTAGTGAAGAATAGTTTTCCTATTGGCATCATCTCCATAAAATAACATATAGGTGGCCAAAGTGGCATTGGTATGAAAATATGAGAGAAAAAATATTGAAAAGCTTGGAAATATTAAACAGTAATTTCCTGATGATATTACAAGGATATCTATTCCATATAGACTTTATTTTTTTAAGATGACCTATAGTAAAATTTGATGAGGAGTAATTTTCCCCTTGACAACAACTGCATAAAACGACATATAGGGGGCCAAAGTGGCATAGATATAAAAATATAACAGAAAAAATATTCAAAAGCTTGAAAATATTAAGCAACAATTTCATGCGGATTATACAAAGATATCTATTCTATATAGACATTAAATTTTTATGATGACCTATAGTAAAATTCGATAAAAAGTAATTTTCCCTTTGACATCAACCCCGTAAAATGACATATAGGGGGCCAAAGTGGTACAAGTATGAAAATATCACAGAACAAGTATTCAAAAGTTTGGAAATATTAAGCAACAATTCCATGCGGATTTTACAAGGATATATATTCTAAATAGACATCAGCTCCATAAAATGACATGTAGGTGCTCAAAGTGGCATAGGTATGAAAATATCACAGAAAAAAATATTCATAAGTTTAAAACAATTAAACAACAATTTCATGCGGATTTTACAAGGATATTTATTCTATATAGGCACTAATGGTTCATGATGACCTATAGTAAAATTCGATGAAGAGTATTTTTCCGATTGACATCAATCTAATAAAATCGAATTTAGGGAGTCAAAATGTCATTCAATGACATTAGAGCTGAAAAAATTCAAAATAAATTATTTACAAATTCAACAGATTTTTACCCCATATTTCACTGATATATATTATATACACAAAGTTCTTTTATTTGTGGACATATAGTAGAATTTTATGAAGAACATTTTATCCTTTGACATAAACCCCAAAAGGTAACACTTTAAGGGTAAAAGTGACCAGGGAATTGAATATGTCCAGAAAAAAATAAAATATGACAAATTTTTATAATTAACCAAAAGTCAAATGAATTTTCACTGATATATATTATATATAGAGGTTTGATTTGTTCAATGACATAGGGTAGAATTCGATGGAGAACAGGGAGGATGAAATCGGTGAAAGAAAGTAATTACATTCGAAAAGTTAGAGAACAAATTCAATTTTACAATAATCAGAATTGATCCGATATTTCACTGAAATATATTCTATATAGAGCCTTGTCTTGTTCTGAAGCTTATAGTGAAATTTGATTAAGAACATTTTCCTCATTGGCATCATATCCTTAAAATGAAGTTTTAAAGGACATTTTGGGCCAAAGTGAGGAACTACGAAAATATTTAAAAAATTAAAAAAAAATATCAGTTTTTTTCTTGGCTTCATAGAATGGACTAAATGTCGATTTTTGCGGATTTTTTAAAAATTTCTCTTCATGGCGTATACATTATGACAATATTAATACGCCCTAGGGTACCCCCAGGAAAATATAAATAATTTTAAGTATCTTCAAAGTTTTTCAGATTTTATAGATTTGTTCAACTCATTCACTCAGTAACTGAGAACTCTGATACAGTATTTAGAGCAACTCAAGATATATTAATGTCACAAAACAAAAATTTACAAAAATAACATTTAAAAATGCAACACACAACAAAATATTTATTTCTTCATACGAAAACAATTTTTTTAGAGCAAAATGTGATAATTTTTTTGTATAACGCAAAAAGAAACATTTTTTCAGTATTCTTTTGCCTAAGGATAAATGGAAAGAGAGTATTAAAACAAATGCAAAAAAAAAAAATTATGATATTTTTTGCAATGAAACATTTTTTTAAATATTATTTTTTAATTTTGAAAATTATTATTTTTTTCAATTAACAAAATAATAAATAAAGAAAAAAATTGAGGCAAAAATGCTTAGAAATGAATTTAGTAACAAAGAAAAAAAATTAAATAAGATATTAAAAAAACATAAAAACTATTTATGATTGTTAAACATAAGAAATAATTAAATTTAAGAAATCTTAAAGAAAAAGGTGGAAAAAAATGGAAGGTTTTAATGCAAAGGTTTTACAACAGGGTTTTTTGGGCATAATTAAATGCCAAGGGGACAACCAAATGGATTGGAGTGACAGAAAACAAAATCTATATTTGCAAATTTCCAAATAAAACAAAAAAACGTATCAATGTCCTTAAATGTTATTTAAACAACAACAAAAATATAAAAAACAAATTTAAAATATATATTAAAGAAAAAATTAAAAAAAAACAAAAATTATTATATATTTACACAAATTCCATTTGTTTGAGTTTGTTTTGCCAATTTTTAATTATTGTTAAACCTAAATATGTGTTTTGTTTTCATAACCAACCAACTTTCCCCAAAAAATATATAACCAACAAAAACATGGGGAAAGGTAAATACAAATTTTGTTGAAAAATATTAGCTTAAATATTTATATTTGCAAAAAACCGCATAAAGCCCCCTAAAAAACAACTCTCAAAACAAAAATGAATACCAAACAAAAACAAAACCCTAATTAATTAGTTGTTTATTTCTTAATGCCTTAATAACCAAAATCCTCTCCCAATTTAAAACTCCTATTAAAAAAATCATAAATACAAAAAAAAAAAACAAATTTGTTAAAACAAATTATTATTATTAGCTTTTAACAAAGAAAACAATATAAACAAAAAATAAACTTCATCAAAACCAAAAACAAAAAACCTTCAAATCAACATCTCTTACAAAAAAAACGAAATGGAAAAATTGAAATTTGAAAGAAAAAAATTAAAAAGGAAATTATTAACAGAAAAATATATATCTCCAACAACAACAAAACACAATTAACATTTTATGAAAACCAAAAGAAAAAATCCCCCAAAACAAACAAGCTTATCTCAGAACGAAAACCAAAACAAATCCATTATATTTCAATAATTAATAAAAAACAAAGCAAAAAACCAAACAAATCAATGAGAAAAATAAATAAAAGTATTTATGTGAAAAATACACAAAAAACAAATAATGTTTTTATTTAAAAAAAAATGTGGAAATTAAGAAAAAAAATATGGTAAGAAATAATTAAAATTATTTTCTATATAGGGACCCCTAACTTGGAGCCCATATTTCACTAGCCTTAAGGCTAATAAGGGAGGCTATATACACTTCAATACGGAAAAAATGTGCCTCATCTAAATATTCTTTGGGGTAAAAGGGCAAAAAGAAAAATTGGAATTCCCTCCAGTACAGAGTTCTCAGAGAATAAAAATAATAATAGAGAATAATAAGTGAGGCGTATACATAACGTCGGCATGTATACGCCCCAGTGTAACAAATCTAATATTTCCTGTTTTAAGTCTCAAAAAGGGACAAGGAAATAAATTATGATTTCCATAATGGGATCTGAAAGGATTATCAAGGATATTCCTTAAAAATTAACAACAACAAGAATTGCCAAATAAGAATAAATTAAAAAAAGGATGTTTCATTTAGCAAAGTTTTGGGCTCATATTTCATTGATTTCTATTAAAGATAGCAATTTCCTTTAAACGGTGACTTATAGTAAAATTTAATGCAGAATAATTTTCCCCTTGACATTAACCCCTTAAAATGATATATAGGTGGTGAAAGAAGCAAAAATGTGGAATTGTTACAGAAAAGCTTAGAAATATTAAATACCAATTTCCTGCTGATATTACAAGGATACCTATTGTATATAGGCATTAATTTTTCATGATGGCCTATAGTAAAATTCGATGAATAGTAATTTTTCCCTTGGTATCAAATCTCTAAAATTACATATAGGGGGTTAAAGTGACATATTTATGAAAATATCACAGAAAAAAAAAAATATTCAAAAGCTTGGAAATATTCAACACCAATTTCCTGCTGATATTACATGGATATCTATTCTATATAGACATTAATTGTTCATTGTTCAAATTATGGTAAGAAATAATTAAAATTATTTTCTATATATATATATATATATATATATACCCCTGGCTTGGAGCCCATATTGCACTGATATATATTAATACCCTCAGCCTTATGGCTAATGAGGGAACAACCGATTTATTCCAATGTTTGCACATTTTAATATGATACCAAAAATCTACTTTAAATCCGAAAATGGCGTCTAAATGGCAACCTCTTTTGCTATCTCTTCGCAGATGGTCAACTCTTTAAAAAAACACATATACTTTATATAACGAATAATAACACCTGAGTGTAATTCTATCTGTCGGTGTTCCCGACTAGCTAACTTTTTTACTTGTTTATTTACAGATTTCTAAACTTTAAATTAATCCATAATGAAACTTGTGGAGTATACGCTGTGACAACACTAATACGCAGTGGTGGACCAAAAGATTACTTATTACTAAAGAGAAGAAATAAACAGCCTATGTCTTTTTTAGATATATTAAATCCGAAAATCGGGTCTATATGCCAAACTCTTTCGGTTCCTCTCCACAGATGGTGAACTCTTGACAAAATATATACCTTATATAAGGAATAATTAAACCTGTGTGTAATTCCGTAGACCTCCGCAAACTATAGGCTGAGGGTATACATCTGGCAACACCGTCTGACACTTATTTACATATGAAAAACTTTAAACTTTAATTAAATCCATCAAAGAACACGTGGCGTATACGTTGTGACAACACTAACACGCAGTGGTGAACCAAATGATTGTTTTTTTTTCTATCAAGGGGAATAAAAAATCCATGGCTTTTTTCAGACATATTTCGGCACAGAATGGGTACTTACACACCTATTCAATATCCCAGAAACAAATTCGTATATGGCGGCAAAGTTTATTGCATATTTATGTACATATTTTTTGCGGTAAAAGCAATAAATCTTTGATTTAATTTGCCAAAATAGACAAATATCAATTAGCCAAGCATAAATCATCAAAACTATCATAATTTTGGTGCTACTATTATCCCGTTATGCCCCTCAAGAAGTAACCACCATAGCATTTCTATTTTTATAACTCAACAGCACGGTGAAAAAATAAAATTGATCCATTAAGCCGCAAAACGAATTGAACTTGACATTGTGGCTAATGGAACATGACAATGGCAAATGGTGCTGCTGCTCATGATGGATGGATTGTTGATTGAAATATTAATTTATGGATACTTTTCTCTTTATTTTCTCAGTAGCCAATAAGCTTCGCATTCAGTCTGTGGTTGTCCATGCAGCCAAATATCTACGGCTACCAGTTAAATATCTACATAAGTTTTGTTTTTTTTCTGATTCTACGTGTTATCTCCCTTATTTGCAAATTCTCCCCAATTGCCACGAATTGCTCTCCCTAATTCGTTTATTTAATAATTATCTGGATAATTGATTCTGGCAAGCAGGGAAGATAAGAGTCGTTTGCAAAGCAAATAGATTTTATTTTACTTCAGCCAGACAAATTGGCTTTGCCAAAAAATAACAAAAAATAGTTTATCTTCAGCCAGCCTTAGAAATCGAACTACCAAAATGGAAATTATGGAAACTGTGGCGATATTTCAATTAATCTATCAAATTACCAATTTAGCACCATGGGCTTTAAATCGCAAAACGGGCAACTTTGAACGTAGTCGTGCATTGGAAATTTATGGCATGACCATATTGGCTATATCCACAATTCTACTCTTCTATGGGCTATTTGGAAAAAATGCCCTATCCACCATTAATTCAAATGATATTGGCAAGACAGTGGATTTTATACAGCTGGTTGGTATTCGAGTGGCTCATATTGTGTCCATTGCTGAGGCCCTAATGCGCCGTGAGGATCAAAAGAAATTCTATGAGCAGCTAATGGAAATCGATCACATCTTTGAGAAATCTTTGAACAGGGATATGCATAATGGGTGAGTGGGGTCAATATAAAAAATAAGGAGTTGTAAAATAATTATTTCACTTTTTTCAGTATATTCCATTCCAATACCGTACAACGTGGTGCCTTAATGTTATCCATTTATATCATTTGCGAGATTTTCATATTAATCGCCCATGTGGTGGCAAATGACAATGAAAATTTCCCCACATATTGGATATTCTATGTGATGCCTTTGATAATTTGTGGCTTGCGTTATTTTCAAATGTTTACCGCAATTCGGTTAATACAACGGAGGCTGAATGCACTTACCCAGGTTATAAATGAGATCAATTTACATGAACCTACCAAAGCGGAGAAGGAAGTTTTCACTAAATCTTTGGAGCCAATTAAGTTGGGCGCCACCCAATCAAACCCTAATATTTTCGAATTATCTTTACAAAAACGCCAAGAAATGGAAAATGCCGATATGAAAAGGCTACTCATAATACGTGATTTATATAATCGTCTATTTGTGTTAACCGAATTATATAACCAATATTTTGGCATTTCAATGTTAATTAATTTGGGCAATGATTTTATTTCCATCACATCGAATTGTTATTGGATTTTTATAAATTTTAAAAATTTCGCCTCAACAACTAAAGATTTTTTGCAAATTGCTGGAAGTACTGTTTGGTCTATACCGCATCTGCTGAATGTTTTGGTCTTGGCGATATTGTGCGACAGGACTATGGGGAGTGTAAGTGGGATATTTTGAATTTTTTAAGGATAATTTAAATAATTTTTGTATTGCAAAAATATTTCAGACAACCAGCATGGCTTTGGGTTTGCATCGCATACACATTGATACGTTTAATGATAATCATAATTCGGTGGTAAGTAGATGTTGAAGAAATTAATCTAAAGAGGTTTTTAGGGACCTCCTGAGATACATACTTTCTAAAATATAAAGACTATGAGTTATAGATGATCTATAGGGGAGGCAATAGACTCCTTATAGATTTCAATTATATTTTCTCTCATATATTTATATATAGAGAATTATTTTGTTCGAAAACTCATATTTTTTATTTTGTGTAGAAAATTTTGTTCATTGATAATAGCCCTCTAAAATTAATTATAGAGAAAATTTCGGCCACATTTTGGGAATCCACAAAACAACCAAACTTTTTTTAAATTGTGAAGATTTCAAATATTTATGGACCAAGAATGTTATATCCTTGTAAACTAGGCAAATTAAATTTTAATTACATCCATAATGGAACTCATGGCGTATACGTTGTGACAACACTTATACGCTGTGGTGTACCAAACATTTCCAGTTGAAATCGCTTATAATATCAAGATATTGGTGAAATTGGTCTTTAAAAGGGATATGAAATGAATTCAAAACTTTTCTTCTACAATTGTGCTTAAAAGAGCACTAGTATATCAACAAAATTGGGTCTATTATTTTTTTACTGTTTATACCGCGCTTTTTGTGCTAGGCTAAGAACATTCCGAACTGCCTAATGAAATTCTGCTCAGCACATGTTCTCCGAATTCAAATGCACTCACTTATATAAAATATTTTTTTATTTAAGTTCAATAAATATTGATTGATTTTCTTCATTTCAGATCCAACAATTTTCTTTGCAACTGCTACATCAAAAGATCAAAATTACTGCGGCGGGATTTTTCACCATCGATTGTGGGCTACTGTATACGGTAAAAATGAAAAGTAGCCAATCATAAATATGTAAATTAATTTTTTTAAATATTTTTTTCTACAGATTGTTGGAGCTACCACCACCTACCTTATTATACTCATACAATTCCATTTGAACGAGGAGATAGATGGTATATAAAGGCGAAATCACACTAAGAAGTCGGATGCCAAGCAGAGAAAATTGCATTAAAGAAAAGTGGTGCATTTGGGGACAGTAAATAACACGGGGGTTTTAAATGCCTTCCTTCTCATAAACTCAGGCGATTATTCGGTATCAAATCCCAACCATAAAAACACCGGAATTAGATACGATTTAAAATATAAACATCTATTTTATTTATTTATTTTTTTCAATATCATAAACCCAGATTTTGTTGCTCTTTTTTAAGTATTTCCAGGAAAATCCGCCAAAATTCTTTTTGTTCGAGTTCAATAAAATCACCAATTTGTCGCTTGAATCTCAGTTTGATTTACATTAACGATGCTATTGTCACTTTTTGTAAACTGGATGAGAATTATTAAATGGGTGACAATCAAAACACAAATCTAGAAAGAAGAAGAACAAAAATTTAAGTATTATTAATATCTATATTACGTATAAATATAATAATATTCTGTTATTAATAAATTTATTAATAAATATTTCTATAAAAATTAATGTTCATTTACAATTTTTAATAGTAATAATAAAACTAGTAATAGAGGGAAATGTAAAATTTGCTGTGGCTTAGACATTGATTGGCAATTCATACGGGAACTGAAAACTAGTTGGCAATTCTCAAAAAATCCGATCAGTTTTTTTATTTTTACCATGTTGAAATAAGGTGATGTATCAAAATAAAAACCTTTGTTTTTTATCTCCACTATCTGTCAAAATTTTACTTATAATATTTCACATGGTTGGCAACATTGCACATCGAAATCAAGTAGAAATTACCCACTTTGACAGTTAATCGAGTAATCAGCTGCGCTAAATGGACAACCTATTTATTGTGCCATGATTTTTACTTTGCCAAATATATCGAGCGAAAAAAATGTCCAAAGAGGATGTATAATTTTTTAAGGTTCTTAAAACGAAATTCTAATTGTAATGATTAATTGAAAATACTTACGCCAAATATACACTGTAGATCAAAATTAAAGAAACGTTTTCCGGTAACCACAATCCTTTGATGCAGTAGCTGCAATGAGAAATCATGCACCAAACTTTTATAGTTTCGCTGCAACTCCAAACTGCTACCATTACCATCGGAAATATTTAGACGGGTGACCAATAAGGCAGTACGACGGCACTGAAAATATTTAAGGAAACAAATTTTTAAAAACATATTATAAATAGTTACTTTATGGAAAAAAAGAAATCCCTTTTTTTGTAGAGATAAAAAGTTTCGCTAAAATGTTTTAAACAAAGTTTTAGCAAAAGTCTCATTCAACAATAAAAATAGACGTAAGAAAAATGCAACTCTGTAGAGGTGTCACTATACTGTCATACTGAGGATTTATACAATCCGATATGTAAAAAAAATATTAAAGGTCGTTTACATTTAACCGGATTTGGTTAAACCAGTGGGTTTAAATTTTCAATTCCCTTGAATATATGCCAAATAAATCCTCATAAAATAGGTTAACCCGGTAAAAAGTTCTAATGTAAATGCCGTATTATAGACTTACCTCCTGCTTCACCAGCTGACATGTATAACAAAATTTATAGGAATTCAAGGACAACGGTATTATCGTACTTATCGACAACACAATACTTCCCGCGGGAAAAAGTTTATCCAATGCCAATAGACACCAATAGATGTGACAGGTACAATCCAAAAAATACGAAGCTGTCACAGCGAACATTGATGCCTGACCAAACTCATTCAGACAATGAAATGCTTCATAAATACTCGAATACAATTCCTTGATGTGATTTAAATATTCCAAAGTTTGCAGCTGTTTATAATTCACATCCAGCAGCTGAGATTCTTCCTGCGTCTTCAAACACACCACTTGCTGTAGCTTCCGATTCAATGAGCACAAATAATGATTTAACAACTCCACATACATTTGCAACTGCAAGAAACGCATGCGCATTGCCAAAATGGCAAATAGGGCCCACCAAAAGTAGCCCTGATCATTCATAAAGGAATTGTGTATACCAAAGATTATCAAACCAATTACAGATACTGCAGCCAGGGTAATTAGAATTTTTCTCAATTTTTCTGTCATCGCGTAGAGGCCAATATCTGCTCGTAATTTTAATTTGAAGGTTACCTCAATTTCATTTAGCAACCTTAAAAATTCCGTGTGTTCCTTTTGTTTGGCCAAACATTCCCACATCATAACCAGGTGGCTGAAAATTTGCGATACAAAAACAAATGCCGAAACAAACCAGGAAATTATATAGTCATTCTCCAGTGGAGACATAAATACACCCAAGACACAAATCGAACAGAGTATAATCATCAAGAAGATGGTGTAAATGGTACAGCCAATATTCCAACGGCGGCTATCACATTTCACTTGTGGTATATAAATACCAAAAATTGTACAACAATTTAGCACAAATTTCAAATCGTTGTCCATGCTGAGGTCGGGTTTTAAGAATTACTAAAAGGAGCCAAGATATTTCCTAATTCGTACACTGTGAAGTAGAAAATGTTGAGCTACACTTTTTTGGATGTTATTTGAGGTTATGAGTCAATCTTTGTAACATAACCTAACAAAAATCCTTCATAACCAAATTAATTTCATCAGCGCCATCTAGTATTGAATATTTCGTTGTATTTGGGAAGATTTTTCCAATTTCCTAAAAGAAATTCTAAACTAACATCCGGTTTCATGTTTAAGCACGTCTAGAAAAAATGCGTTATTATGAAACAAATGACTTTCACGTTGTATTTTAAATTGTAAATGGAGATTTTCCAATTTCGCTAAGGAACTTCTAAACAAAAATACGTTTATTTTATGTCACTCATGCCGAAAAATATTTCTTCTGCAAAAAATCGTCATTATGAAAAAAACGACATCAGCGCCACCTATTATTGATTATTTCACGTTATATTTCAAATTGTAGATGGAGATTTTTCAATTTCCTGAAAGAACTTATAAACAGACATCCAGGTTTTTCTTGTCACTCATCCGGACAAATATTTTTCTAGCAAAAATCCGTGATTATGAAACAAATGAGCGACAAATGAGCAGCGACATCTATTATTGAAGATTTCACGTTATATACCAAATTGTAGATAAGTTAATGAATTGCGAATAGCAATTGGCATTTTCAAGTTTTATATATCTTCTGAAAGAAGTTTTTAGATTAAATATCCTTTTGAAATGAGATAAAAGGATTCCGTCATTATCAAACAAATGACATCGGCGCCATCTTTTATTGAACATTTCACGTTATATTTCAAATTGTAGATGGAGACTTTTCAATTTCCCGAAAGAAATTCTAAACAGAAATCGGGTTATTTCTAGTCACTTACGTGGAAACAAATTTTCCAGAAAAAATCTGCCATTATCAAACCAATGACATCAGTGCCATATATTATTGAATATTTCTCGTTATGTTTTATGTTTCCTGAAAGAACTTCTGAACAAAAAATCCTGTTATTGCTTGTCACTCATGCGGAAAACATTTTTTTCTGATAGGAATTAGCATTTTCAAGTTTCCTACATCTTCTGAATGGATTTTGTTAGAATAAATATCCTTTTGAAATGAGAAAAAGGCCTTTATCATCTTCTAGGTTTCATATATTACGTATTTCTACCGTTGGCGCCCAACATATTCAATCTGCTATAAATCTTGTATTCAGTCTCCTGTTCCCCTTCTTGAGAATTATGAACAAAACATATTTTACAATTTGTGTATTTCGACATATAGAGTACAAAAAACTTCCCCTAATATCATCTATAATTTGCACCACAAGATGTCATTAAGGATAACAAAAATTGATGGCATTTTTCGCAATAAATGGATTTCAATAACTCATTGATGCAACGTAAAGGATGTGTGAGAGGCAACAGTCAATTAGCCTGCATATAGGTGGCGAGTTTTTTTCTACAATAAATATTATACATACAATAGCTGGGGGTCTCTTGTAAAGGAGAGAGAATTTTTTTAACCAGGTTTCTACTTTTAAGCCAAATTTATTCCAAGCCCTTTCGTCCACATAAAAAAATCTCCAACAACTTTAATTCCTTTTTCCCCTCCTAGTATTGAATGTAATTTCCCGCCACCTTCTCCTTCCAGTATTTTAGTAACATAAAAACTCTTTTGGATTCCTGCAATTCATACAAAATAAGTATCGGAATTATTCTACAGGCAAGTGTTTTAAGAAAGTGATTGAAAAACATCCTTGAAACACTTGCCATTAAATGTCGGTCACAAAAATGATGGATGGCCATTTGAACAGATTCCAGAACTTCCCTTTTCATTATTATATCAAAAAAGAATCTAATTTCAGTTTCAATCCAACTTCAAACCGAAATGAATACCTTCGTAATTATTGTGCGCACCATTTTATTAGTGGCTATAATCCTCTGCGGCTTAAGTCCTTTGAAGCGTCCTTTTCGATGGCTAACATTTCTGCTGCGAATTGGTCTTCTCTTTTGGTTAAGTTCCACCGTGTTCTTAATGTTCTATTTGCGAATGAGCGGTGGCGATACTTCGGTTGGTGGCCTTGTGGGTACAGCATCGTTTGTCTTCAATGGCATTACAAATATTATCATTATCCTCGAGTCGATGTTTAAGGGAGATTTTGAAAAGAAAATGAAAAAATTGGAAAACGAAATCGAATACATAATACAACAAAATTGGCAACAAGATGCAAATGCAATGGCACCACACTATCGGAAAATGTCCAAGGGCTTAATGACAATATTTATTATTGAAATGACATGTGTGGGTTTTAAGTTGTGGATAAATACCATTTCAAAAATACAACCGGTATTTTGGTATGCCCTTCCCACCATCGTAAGCCTTAGGGTGCGCTACATTCAGTTAATAGCCATTGTAATAAAACTGAATGGATATGTGGAAATATTTAAAAGATCCTTGGAGAAATGTACGAAAAATAAATCGCCATCGTATACCTTCGAAATATGGCAACCCTATAAGGATGAGGAATATGTACAATTAAATGGTAGACGTTTAATCTATTTACGTATTTGGGAAATGTATAAAGCCCTGAATGATGCCTTCGGCTGGTCCATGTTGTATTTGTTTATGACCTCGTTTTTTGATATTGTCTGCAATTGTTATTGGTCCTTTACGGCGGTGTATAAACAACAGTCGTTTCATAAATATGTTTTCAATGGAGCCACATCGATATCGTTGTCCACTTTGGTTATTGTTTTATTCTATTTTACGGATTTAAGTTATGAAAATGTAAGTAGATTTGTTTTGGAATATAAATAATTAACAAAAGCAAATATAAATTTATTAAAAAAAATCCCATAAGAGATAATAAAAAATTCTCGAACATTGATTCTTATATCAGTCGTAATGCCCAAATTGATATCCAAATTTACTAATATTTATTATAGCTACAAACTTACTTTATATCAGGACTTATACTGAAATTCGATAAAGAATATTTTCCTCTTCTATAATACCTCTCTATAACCAAGTTTAATTAAAGATATTGGTCCAAAATTGAAAAGACCAAACATAACCCCAAAAAATCTATAAATACAAATTTTTTATTAAGTCGTATGTTTTATATTCATATTTTACCTCTTGCTATTATAGAAACTTCCTTTCTTCGGAGACCTATAGTGAAATTATATGTAGAATATATTCCTCATTTGTGCCACCTCTCTAAAATAACGTTTTGGTGGTGATTTTGACTAATTCCAAAAGATTACCCCCAAAAATGCCCTAAAGTATATCAAGCATAAAAACTGAAATTGGTAGCAACATTTGAGCTACAGATTTACTTTGTGTGGAGACTTCTATTAAAAATCGATGTAGAATAACTCACCCCAATGATGACATTTTGTGGGTGATATTGACTCAAAAGTAAACGGACCAAACATAACCCCAAAATATGACTATAAATACATTTTATAAATAAAGTACGTAAATTTGAATCGAAATTCAGGACATATGTATACTATCTACGGATTTTTTTGTTCCGAGACTAATAGTAAAATTGTATATAGAATATTTTCTCCATTGATGCCACCTTTCTAAAATGAAGAATTGTTGGTGATTTTGTGTCACTTCAAAAATGTAAATAAATACCCAAAAAAAACCCCAATATACCCTATATTAACTGATATTTCACCTTTATATATTGTGGCTAGAGTTTTATTATGTGAGAGGACTCCTGTTAAAATTCGATGTAGAACATTTTCCTCTTTGGTAACTGCCCTCAAAAACGTCGTATTTTTAGAGATATTGACCCAAATGTGAAACGATCAAACATAACCCCAAAATATCGTTATAAATACATTTTATAAATAAAATAAGTAGATTTAAATCGAAATTTAGGATATATGTATACTAACTACCGACTTCTCTTGTTCAAAGACATATTGTGAAATTTTATATAGAATATTTTTTCCATTGATGTCACTATTCTAAAATGAAGTATTATTGTTGATTTTGTGACATTTAAAAAAAATGTAAAAAATTCTCAAAATACTCAAAATGGACAATAAAATATATTTTGTAAATAATAGCCATGGAGGGCTAATATTTTCTCCAAATATGTTCCCCTTAAGTCTGAGTTTATACATGCAACTTTTTTAAGCAACTCTGCTGCTGCTCTCTACGATTCTCTTTTAAATTTCTCCCCCTTGTCACTTTTTATACCTCTCACTTCTAAGAACTCAGCAGAGTTGCTTACAAAAGTTGCATGTATTAACCCAGAATAATCTTATCTGTAATATTGCTAAACACCTCTAGAGCCAAAAATGTAAGAATCAGGACAAAAAATCTCCCCTAAACTAAAATAAAATGTTCTCCAATAAAACGATTTATTTTTGGTGGCCCCTCTGCCAAAATCCCTTAATAAAAAACGGATAATTACTTTTTGACGATTAAAGTTTGATGGATGACAAAAAGCTTTCAATAATCATGACTTAGCATAATTTTTTTCCACAAAATCGCTTTTAAACCTTCTTTCCAAGTGCATTCAAAATCAGTTAGCTTTTCAATCCCGAATCACCACTATGATTAACGTCGGTCACGCTCAGCTGCATGGAATCCCCAAACATTTGGGATATAGAATTGTCATTGTGGGCTCCTATGTCATTTTATGGCTATTCGCCTTGACACCATTTACCAAAAATCATAAAATCTATATGTTCTATATCGTTTGTGCCCTGGCTTCCATTGTGGGTATCACGTATCGGGTCATTACACATCGTATAATGGAGGATGAAGATGGTTTGAATGGCTTTGTGAGTGTCATTTTGTTTGTGACACACATATCTGGTCATATTGTGGTGCTCCTGAATTCCTGGTCTGCACGAAAGATACGCCTTCCAATGTATGCCAAATGTTTATCTATTAGTGATACCCTGCGTGAGGTGATACAAAGACCTTTCCAAACCGAGGAAATTGTTCACAAAATTCTAACATTTGCCCTTGGATTCAGTTGTTTGATTGTGCTGGGTCATGGTTTTATTATTTCGACAACTTTGATGACTGCATCGGCGGCCGGGAGCCTCTACAAATATTCTTTGCCAAGTTCACTGGCTTTGCAGTTTAAAACTTGGGAAATAATGTTGCTGTTGATCCATGTAAACTATTATATACGTGTTATGCGTCAGAACATTGACGAAATGGGAGAACGTAACATTAAGAAGATATTTTTCGGTGGTATGGCAACAAATGCCTGGCATGAGAGGGGAAATGTAAAATTTATTAATGTCCTGGGCCATCGTCAAGATGAGGTGGACGAAAAACAAGTGGAATTGTTGAAAAAGTGTTACAGTGAAACCTATGCTTTGTTTCAAATCATAAATGAGGGCTATGGTTGGTCTCTGCTGGCCATTACTGCAGTTTCGTTTGTGGAATTTGTCTGCAATTGTTATTGGGTTTTATTAGCCTTGATTACACAGGCCTACAATTATTATACCCTGTTTCAGAATGGCTGTTTTGCATTGTTGGCTTTTATTCTGTTGACTATGTTATGTTGGATATGTGATACGGCTAGTTATGAGGTAAGAGTTTGAATTGGACATTTTTTATAGGCCTTCTTGGGATTTACTAAAAATTGAAATTGTTATTTTGGATTTCCATTAGTTTTAATATTTGTTTTCCATTTTTTTCAGAGCCGTTACATTGGCTGTTTAATATCGAAACTGGTCAAACAACCCTTGGGCAATAAACGTTACAACGATTTGGTTAGTGAATTTTCAGTACAAACATTGCATCAACGTTTTATTGTGACGGCCAAGGAGTTTTTTGAACTCAATTTGGGTCTATTGGGAAGTGTGAGTAAATTTTTTAAAAAGTTTATAAATTAAGAATTTTCAAGGGCCCAGGAAGAGAGTTAATTGTCTATTCAAAATGTTTTCATTGTTTTTTTAGATGGTTGCTGCCATTGTCACCTATTTGGTAATATTAATTCAATTTATGTTTACCGAAAAGGAACTTAAAGCCGATGATGATATTTTGAATACTAACACAAATGTTGGAATGAACTCAACTATATAGAAAATAGTTGATAATAATTAAAGGATATAAAAAATACTCATCTTGTTTATGGTTTACAAAAAAGAAATCAAAGCTATTATAAAATAGGGAGAAAATTCCGAAAAAATCCTATTTTTAGTTTTACAATTTATACATTTTTTTCGCTTATCAAATATTTTTTTTAACTTGTTACATCTTCAATAAATATTGTATCTATATTTTAGACTTTTATTTTTTTATGTAGTCCTAATAAATATCTCTTAATTATACTTATCCTTTATCAAAACTTTTAAAATAATTCAATTTGTTTTTAATATTTTGTTACTTCTAAATCAAGTAATATCTAATTAATACCTTTTTACTATACTTATCCTTTATAATACCTTTCAAAATAATTCAATTTGCTTTTAATATATTTATTTTTTTGTTACTTCTAAATCAAATATGTATTTATTTATTTTATTTGTTTTTGTAATAGATTTCTTTGTTTGTAATACAATCCAATAATTTGTTATTTCAATATGTTTTATTTTTCTGTGTATAATTTTAATATTTATTTTTGTATAACATTTTTTGTAATATTTTTATTTTCAATTTTACGAATTCATATAAATATATTTTTTTGTTCATATTTTTTGTATTTTTTTAAATAGTTTTTTTTCTCAATATTTTGTTATTATTTATTATTTGGAAAGGAAGTGTTATTGAGTGTAAAAAAAGTTTAAAAAATATGATAAATGAAATATTGATTTTATATAAAAAAAAAAACAATTTTAAAATTTACTGGACTCGAAGAAGACATAAGGAAAAGTTTGCAACTAAATTTCTATTTTTGAAAAGCCCTTGACTGGAATTTCTAAGATCTCTATCGTATTTTAAAATTTAATAAAATTAATTTCAAGATTATTTATTATTTAAATTGATTTGAAGATCAACAAACGCCGTGGCTGATTTAAAAGAAACCTCTTTAGGCCTTCTTTGATTCCAATATTAAAATAGTTTTAATTAATTCACTGAAAATAAACTGGTACACATTGAAAACTAAATTTTCAAAAAAAAAAAAATCTTTTATTTTATTACAACAAAAAATTATTGACATATTTCGGAGAAAAAAAATATACAAAATTTAATGACAAATTTTACATATTTTAAAATTAGGAAATATTACAATCCAATTAATTGGCCTTTATTATTCGAGTTTATTAAATCACAAAAATTAGAAAAGGAAAAAATAAAGATTATAGATTTATATAACATAATAATAATAAATAATAATATATACATATATAAACAAAATATAGCGAGAAAACTTAAAAATTACCATATTAACAGAAAAAAATGAGAACTTAATAAAAAAAAATATTTACAAAACTAAAAATTAAATTAAAATACAATAGAATACATGCATTTATACATAAATAATTTTGTGTAGAGAGTTCTTGAATTACATTTTTTGTGTGTGGATTTTTCAATGCTTTTTCATTTCAGTTTAATATCACAAACAAAATAATAATTAAAAAATATACAAAGAAACAATGCTTATTAAAAAATAACATAAATCTTTGGCACAGTCTATGACTTAAATTGTATTGTGTGTTTGTTTGAAAAATATATGTATATAGTTTGTGTGTTTTTTGTAATGTATCAAAAAGAATACTATTTTTTTGTTTTTCTTACGGACAATTTTCTTTTCGTTTAAATTCTTTTTTTCTTTTATTATTTTTAACTATTTTTTAAACGCATTGATATGTTATTTCGTTTTTATGGTTTCCAAAAAAAAGATGAGAATCTATTTTCTTTTTTCAATGTGGATGATGATTCCTGATGATGATGATAATGTATGTATGGTGAAATGTGATATGACCTAATGATAAGTTATTATGGAATGTGTTTTATTTTTTGTTATTTAATTTGTTTTAAAAATACCTGTAATATTGTAATGTGCTGTAAGAAAAGAAAAAAAAAACAAAAATATAAAGAAATAAAAATAAATCGAAAGAATAATAAAAATAATATAAAATTCACAACAACAAAAAAAGCGAAAAGCGATTTGGGGATTTAAAAAATAAATATATTGAAAAGAGCTATTTAGAAATCAAACGAAATTGGAACAATTTACATGGAGATGTCTATCCGAAAGGCCTTCTATGACCAATATAATATCCTCAGAGTATTTCTAAAAATGATAGGCCGATAAAAAACCCCCTATTTTTGGGACACCTCTAATGGAGAACAAATGATTCACAGTGGAGGTACATAACATTAAAATATCTTCGGTTGGATAAAATGTATTATTCAGATATTTTTTATAATCATGCAGAACTCTCTGGTGCTGTCTACCCTATAGGTGTCATTTAAACTGTCCTCTTCCCAAAAAACTCTTCCAGATTATCAGGGGTCTTTATGGTAGGTAACTACTATTAAATGGTATAACAAAGGTAGAACCATAAAGATCATTCAAAGGTTTTCTCTAGTCTGTAGAAAAATTACCTTTAGCGGAATTTGTGCCGAGCAAAAGGTGTTCAGAATTCAAGAGAAGTCATAGAAAGGACTCTTTTTTTGGGTTTTGCCCAAATATTTCTCTCAAAGATCAAAGGAAAACATTCAATGTTGGCATTGTCGGTAGAAAGGCTCCATGTGAGCAGTTTTTAAAAAGGGGGTATTCAGACATCTTCTGTAGTCTGTTGAGGTCATAAGGAGCCTTTGGCAAGGACAAAGTAAGGCCCTTCAGTTTATATTTATGATCATAGAAGGCCACTTTGTAATCGTAAGCCCTCGAAATCTATTGTATTTCTGTACTGTAAGGTCCACTAACATTCCGTCAGTCCTTTAAAATTCGATTTACATCTCAGAAAATCTAATAAAAAACATTTCATTGCTAAGAGAATGTCTTCAGGAACTATCAAATGAAGGAATGATGGTTATAAGAGTCAAAAATGTCAATATGCCACTTTATTTAAGTCATTGAAGTTGTTAGGAAAAATTTTCATTCAAATATGTTCTAAATTTTTAATTATTATTTTTTTTTAAATTAAAAAATATAAAAAAGGTGTGAGAAGACCTATACGAAATAAAACAAAAATATTGTTAAGCTAAAAAATGAAATAAATTACAAAAATTGTTTCATTACTTTTTTAACTACTAATAGCAACAAATTGTTTTGTTATTTATTTTATAATTTTCTTTTCCTGTTGTGCTACGATTTTTGTTTTTAAGTTTGAAAATACGGTTAGTCATTTTGGATGCATTTGCTGGGTAGGTTAATAGAAGTTTAATTTATTTTATTTTTCTTTTCAACAACACTACTCTGAATAGAAAACAATATTTTTATATAATATTTTTGTTAGTTTGGTTAATTGCTAAATATAGCTACATAAATATATATTTTTTTATATAAACGTCTATAGATTTAATATTTAATTTTTGTAGGTAACTACTATTGTTATGTCAAATATGTATTCATGTATGAAGTAAATAGTTTTGTGTTAAAACGAGGGGGTTTTCATTATAAAAACTAGAAATTTGAAAACCTTTTAAGGAATGTATAATTATTAAATAGAAAAAATTAAAGAAAAAATTGTGTAAAAATAAAATAATTGAAATCACCAAAAAATGGACTGATGGAAGCTCCAATAGTTTAATAATTTTCTTTTCCTTTTTTGTTTCTTTGTTTACTTGTTTGTCTTTGTAAAACACTATCGTTTAATTAAGGCTTTAATGTGTATAGGTGTGTAGAAATTATTTGTATTCAATCAAGGCTTATGTGTCCCAAAGACAATATTTAAAATTAAAAAAACCATGTTTGTCATTTTGTTGGATTAACTATTTAAAAATTTCACTCGTTTAATTTAATTTTTGTTTCTTTGTTTTTTTTTCTCTAAAATTTCTTATTAACCATATTTTCCGTTAAAATTGTTTATGTTCCATATACCATATTCCATATACTCTATAGGGGTTTTTCATTCATTTAACAACAGCTAAAACTGGTTAATTCTATATATAAGATATAAATATTTTGTGTAGGAATGTGTGTGTAAGTGTTTAGTTATTTAATTAATAAAAAAATTTTTGAAATAAAATATTAGCTTGTTTGCTTAAAAAAAAAATAGAAAATCATAAATTGGGAGACCTCTAAACCTAACCTCAATTTTAGGTTACACTACTCTCATATAATAATAAAGAATTTTTTTTATAAAATACTTTCATTGTAGTAATATAATAGTATATAAGTATGTTTGTATAAGAAAGACAGACAATGTAATTGATCCATAAATTTCTTTCAGAATTGTTCGTTTCATTAGTTTGAGTTTTGCTTTTTGTTTTAGGCATACTACTAGACTTACTTAACATTCGGATTGGCTGCGGCAGGTGTGGCCGACAGGGCCATTTTCGATAGCGTGGCTAAGGAACGTTTTTGGAATGTTGCTTGATTGGCACCGCTACCATCATTGGTATCGGAGAAAAGTTTTCGGAAACTGTAACGAAAATATTTTAATTATTATTTTTTTTTAAGAAGAAAAAATCTTTTTTATTAGACTTACAATTTACGAATACCAGATTCGTTGGATTTTTTCCAGGGTGCATCATCAGGTTCATAGGGTAAGGGACCTTGGACTGGTGCATCGTGTTCAGGAGGCCTGTAAGTGAAATATGTAATAAATATATTAGAAATATTAAAGAAGAGAGGCTTTCAGTAGTTCAATATTCCTCCCTTTTACATTTACGCCACTTTATAATGGTCAAGATTATATTGAAATGTGAAATGTAGTTTACAGCATTAAGGTCGAAAGACTAGGCAATATGAAATATAAATAAATAAAATAAAATAAAATACATAAATCCTATAGATTATTTGTTTCTCTAAGAACAGATTTTTTTCTGCAAAACCTATTCCTTACATTCCTAAGTACCCGTAGAATTTGGTAGAAAAAAATCGCCATGTCTCACAGACAATTTTCCTACAGAAAACATACTGAGTGTCAGGACTTTTTTTTATAAAAAAATCCTAAGGTTACGGTGAGTGCAAGTCTCAAAGAACAATTTTTTCTACAAAAAACACTGAGGCTCTTTACATTTTTCTATAGAAATTTTTTCTCAGTGGAACTTCTTTTTGTAGAAGAAAAATTCTTAAGAATTTTTTTTCAAAAGAAAACAATTCCTCAATTATGTGAGAACTTTTTTTTCATGTCTCTGTAAAAGCATTTTCCATAAAAAAATGTCCTCAAATCAATGATCTATAGAAAAATATGTAAATACATATATACTCACGTTTCTGTTTGATCTCCCAATTTCTGACTATCATCTTCACCACCCTCAGCCCCAATACCATCATCATCCTCATCCGAACTGGATTCATCATTTTCTGTGATTTCCGTTGGCTTTAGCGCCCTCAGCTCTTCATTGAGGTTTTCAATTGTTGTTAACAGCTCATCGCGTTCATTAATCAACTCCTTTAGCTCACGTGTTGTATAACGTGGACGATTCGGATCATTTGGATCATCATCTTGTGACATTACTAAATCTTCATTCTCCTTTTCGGCCAAACCTAAACGTTTGCGTAAACTGTTAATTTCACGTTGTTGGTCTTGTAGTTGGGCCAGGAAATCGGCACGTTCCTCGCACAAAGTTTTTACTTGAGTTTGTAACATTGTACAACGGCGACGTGTGTCACGTCCAGATGCCTTAAAACGTTCCAGTTGGATGGTCATCTGAAATAAGAAGAAAAAAGAAACAATAACAAACCATAAAAAGGCAATGCGAATAAAAACAGAAGATAATGGGAGGGGAAATGGGAGAATGTTTTCAAAATTGTTTTCTAATTGTTTAACTATGCTAAGCAAGAATGTAATAAGTTCCTTTGCTTGACCATAACAATGAAGCCATAAAAATTAAGTTAATGGCCTACAGACAAGTTTACAGAGTTCAATGTGTGGGTGTGTGTGTGCGTTTGTTTTGGGTGTTAAGAAAGCCATGAAGTATAGGCTTCATGACCATGACTGACTGATAAAAGTGAAAAAAAAAATATTTGCTGGAAAACTTTTATGTGGGCTGTGGACATCAAATAGCACAAAGCTGCAAACTTTTAATGAAACAATTCTAAAAATTTATCTACAATAACAAAAATACAATAATACAATAACAACTGCCTGAACAAAAGGCGGAAAATATGTATTAAAGGGAAGAGTATCGCTAAAATCTGATCGTTTGTCTTTGACATTTTTCAATGTGCATGAACATTCCCCAAATATGGAAAAGGGTTAGCTGGACTAATAATTGTCTCTTTTTTTAATTTTCCAATCACCTCTTATCCTTATAATTTTCCCAAAACAAACAGACATACCTTATTAATCCCATCTAGATTAAAGAGGCAAGGAAGAAAAATTGTAAATGTTATGGATTAGTGTGTGACAGTAGCGAGGTTTCCATAATCTACGATAACAAAAATTACATATACTTTTATAAAAGAATATCCTAACAAATTGCCAAAAAGCCACGACTTTGCTCTATGAAATGGGAAATATTCCCAATAAAGGAAAATGTGTGTAAAGGGTTAATTCGAACCATGTCGCAATTAGAAAGAAACATTAATCTTTATTTGCCCCTATATTGTTTCCAAAATACTTTGGTCTGGCTTATTAATCTCATCAGGATTAAAGAGAAATGGAAAAGAACTAATTGTAAATGTAACGGATTAGTGGTTGACATCCATAATCCATTGCCCTACTTAGCTATCAGTGGGTGGGATTTTCTTAATCTATGGGTATGGCCCATACATATAACCATAATAAATTATTCTACTCTGATAAGCAATATATCATGCATATTGAAACTGCGAACAATTCAAACGTGACAATTGTCCCATCCTCACAAACAATTACCATTATCTCTCCACTTTTTGCAAAATTATTTCAATAGTGTGTTATCTCAGTAGGGACGTACCATTATCTATTGAGTGCAAATTAATAATTTATCGATATGCGTATTTTTTGCTTTACTTACGTGTTCAATTTCCTTATATTTGCTTTGCAATTCCCTTTCCTTCTCTTTCAGCTCATCTCTCTGACGATAGATTTGCTCCTTGAGACGCTGTAATACCTGGGTATCACTTAGCGCACTGTGCAGTTCATTATTCGTAATACTGATAATGCTTTCCGTTAGGCTAGCACCCAATCCGGAGGAGTGAGCCGATGAGGATTGTAAATCTTGAGTTTGTTTAATCAAACGTTTATTCTCCTCCTGTAGTGATGTAACCAAATCAGCTAAATCATTTGTTTCTGTGCGCCATTGTTCCTCAATCATTTCCAATTCCTTTTCGAAGCGGCGACGAAATTCGGCTTTTTCATTTTTCTCACTTTCCAACTGGGCAATTTTTTCTTTGAGCTCTTGAATTGTGGCATTTTCACGTTCATTTTTTGTGGCCAAGGCCTCTAGCAATTCCAGGGTGTTAATGATTTTGGGCATCAGACCTATGAGGGTAATTAAAGGGGAAAAACTCATTTACATTTACTTTTTTCTAAAGAGTGTTGTTAATTTACCTGTGGCAGCCTCCGTGCCAAAACGATCTATGATTTTCTCATATTCCTTGCCAATGTCGGAGGCCAGATCATAAACATCTACTACTCCGATGTCATCAATTGCGTCCACCACCATTTCGCCAATTTCATTGAAATGAAAACCTGGCATACGGTAAAAAAGGTGTTTCTTTTGGTTACTCAGTGCCTGCGTTCAGTTGTGTGTGCACTCGTTCGATGCTGTTCTCGTATTGAGATGAGGATGATCTAATCAAAATGCTGAACCCAATTACAAGCAGCAACCCCCTTCTTGACAGCGCACAGGTATGCAGGTGAATTGTTGGTTGGTTGGTTATTCGTTCGCTCGTTCTTCGTTTGATGACGGTGATGTGTTTAGGGACCCTGCCTTTACACTCACTCCGCACCAATTTCACACTTTTTCCACTTTATTAATAATTAAACACTTTTATCTTTTTGCGGTTGGCTGTTGTATATAAAAGAAATTCTTGTATATCTTCCTGCCTTGCCCAACCCGGACTGCTGTTTGTTGGCACAGATGATTTGATGATTTTGTGTATATATATGCAGCGCAAAATTGTAGCACCTTTTTTGGACAAAAATTGTAATTGGAAAAAATATATATGTATGGTAGATAGATTACGTTGTTGTGTCTAAAAAACAATTGACGGCTCGCAAATAATTGGAAGGATTGTTTAGCTGATCAAATTTGTTCTTGCTTTTTGCACAAACAACTTCTATTCTTCATTTGTGTCTCTACTGACTGGTAAAATAATTAATCTTCGAAAAACGTTCCAAATTCTAGGGGAGAAAGAAAAAACTGAGAGAGTGAATGGAAGAGAGAAAGAGAATAATATAGTGTTGCCAAACAGAATAAATGGATAACCGATTACTCATGTAAAAGTAAAGTTTTTTTATTTGCAAATGCTTAACATAAAAAAATAAATAACACAAACAATTAACTACAATGAATTATTATATTTAAAAAGTAAAATAAGAATTTATATCTGTGGACAGATTTAATGCAACTATCGTTGCATTCGGGACGTACAGTACATACGTTCGTAAATATATAAACAAACTCCCAAGAAAAAAATTAATATCGACAAAAAACAATTTAAATTATTCTTTAGGTTTATTTTTACACCTTAATAAATATTAAGGAATAATTTTGTACAATTCGAATATGAAGTTATTTAAATCATTTGTACTGTATGCACAAATAAGTACTGTATATATTTTTACGCTCAAATATATATTAAAAAGCGCATACGTCGGTCAAAAAATTAAATTTTCATATTGTCTTTTAATAGGCAGATAATAAATAAGAAAACTATATACGAAACAAAAATATTTAACATTATTCCCAGTTAATTGTGGCATCGTTGTTGTTGTTTACTATATCAAGGCAAAGATTGAACAGCTGGTAGGTTAACGGCGTTCATTTAAATGAACTTAAGGAACTGGAAGTAGTCCACTTTGATAATTTCCGTTATATTTTGTTTTAATAAAATGCAAATATGATTTATTTAAAAAAAACAATATCTTTGAGAATTTTTACAAATTTTTCTTATTCATTTGTACATTGTCCGTGGAAAAAGAAAATGAGAACAACAAAAACTTAAAAGTATGTGATTACTTTAAAATAACCGACAACCAATGTCAAACGTTAACCGTGTTCATTTAAAAGAACTTACGGAACTGAAAGTAGTCCCGTTTGACCATTTCACAGAATCATTTCTTCTATAAATGATAAACACGTCAAAAGTAAAGTAATGAAAAAAATAATACAACTATATACAAACTAATCAATTGTTAACTATTTTGTGTTAAAAACACACTAATTATAAAACAAAAGTGATTTCCTATTAAAATGTAAACAAATCTTAACGGGAATGTAAGAAAAGAACATAAACAGTTGTGTTTTGATTGGCAGCAAATTCATTTGAAAGGCGTATCATTGCGTGTGTGTGGGTGTGTTTGTGTGAGTTCGTTTAGTGGGTGCATGAAGAACTAGAAAAGCAAGAATAATCAAAACGACCCCTGCCAAGAAAATCCCAAAAGTGGCAAGAAACTCCCAAACGGTGTGTGCGCGAGGCAGAGAGAGGAAAAGGGCTAATTGTTTAATTGGTTAGATGATTCAATTTATTTAAACGAAAAAAAAACAAGCAAAAATATTCTTTGTTTGAAATCCAACAATCATTTGACGTACGTTTTGTTATTAGTGCGATACGAAAAGAAATGCTAAAAATCGATAAAACTGTGGAATGCAATTCTGCCATTATGGAACCATGCGATTCGTTGACCTTCTACAAGGTAAGTTGGAGCAGAAATAAAAATAAGGATGTCCCACTTTACAACTGGTGGTCACGTTTTAAGTGTTGTTGCTGTTGTTAGAAACTAATGTATATGCAGTGGGTTACAACAACAACAAATGTGCATATTAATTTGTTGATAATTGCGTTCTTACTAATAGTGAAATCATTAATAATATTATTAAACGTTTTGGTTTTCGCTTCCTTTGTTTAAACTTGAATTCATTACCATTGGCCTGATAAGCCGAGCCCGCTTTTTCAAACTACGTATGAACATATGCTTTATATTGTTGTGATAAGAAGAAAGCTGTGGTCTATGGGTTCCTCAATTACTTCTAGAATATATTTGTAGAAATAATATGGGGTCAACAAGAGGGTGTCAGGTGCATGAGTTTTAAAATTAAATATTTTTTTGCAAGTCATTTATTTTTGATCTTTTTAGTTTTTCAAATCATATTGAAACCGGATCATTCAAAACTGATGATACTAATGACTCATTGGTTAGATTTGATCTATAATATGCCTTTGATCGATTCAAAGCAAAGCGTTGTCATAGTCGTGTTGCCATTAGCGCATTCGTTTTAAAAATTCCGAATGAAATTAAAAGAATTTTCACCTTTCACTTTCAAAATCCAACATCTATGACGTCACATCAATTTTTGTTTTCTATTTATCCCACGTTCTATGACGCTGCTTGTGGTAACGGATGTTCCGCAGACATTTGTAATTCATTTCCTATTAATAAACATAAACGTCGGCCACTTCTATACGCAACAAACAACTGTCGCATAGCACACAAAACACCGGTATGCTGGCACGGCATAAAAACACAACAATACCATCCATAGCCACCAACTACAGAGTAGTTCATTCAAAGTTTATTGACTCTGTAATGCATCTCGGTTGCCCTTCTCGTACCGGCAAGGTCTTTCGCAAGCCCACTGATAATATTCAGATGTACCAGACGTTTGTCTGACGAAAAGGAAATGAAGCGAATTATTATTACTGATTTTTTTCTTTTTCTTTTAAGATGTGTTCCACTTACCCACCCATCCAGCCAATCAAACAGCCATCCATACTGGTCGGTTGGTTGGTTCTTTGTTTAACATTATCACTGGCTTATAGACGCATTTTTATTTTGTTTTGATTTGTATTTTGTTTTTTACATGAAGAAAATGAAAACAATAATACAAAGCAGAAAAAAATATACAATCGGACACACACACATACACACTCGCGCGGCGTAGAGAATATTTTCGAAATTGTTGTTAACCACAAAATATTGTTTTTGTTTCTGTTTGTTTTTGTTTTTTATATGAAAGCTTTAACCAATAACATCCAGTAGTATTTTTGCCTCAAGTCATTCAGTGTTGGTTGCGCTGCGCATTTTTTCATTAACAAAGAAGAACCTAAATTTAATGGGGGGATCTCCGTTTTTGTAACTTAGTAAAATACATGGAATTATTGTGAAATATTACACGTACAGAAGAAGCCCCTTACCCATTAGCCCCTAAATTGTATAGCTTACATGTTTCATTCATAAGAACATTTGGTGTCTGGTGTGATTTGTGGAGAGAAAGCATAACACAAAAGCCAAATGGCATTTATGAAACCCATCTCAGAGGTGAGAACCAATATCACTTTGCCTTAAATTTGAATAGATATGAGTGAGAGAGTGGCCACTTACTGCTATCTCAATTGATAAACAAATAAAATCTCTGGAATTCAAAATTTATTTTTTCTAGGGGTCAAGGCACTTCCTTAACCAATGGATATTTAAAATTGTGACTAATTTATTTTATTTTTTATTTAAAATATTTAAATTTTTCATTGCAATTTTTATACACATTTCAGGAAGAAGCCCTTAGACCCGATATTGTATGCGATGCCGATTTTAGATCCATACCCTTTACCTCAACCGATTATGAAGTTTTGGATAATTCAACGGATCGTTCCTTTCTCCTGATGGATGCCAATGAACACTTGCACATAGCCACACCCGAGATGTTTTGTAAAAAACTTCGTTGTCCCGATACTGCCAAAATCAAAGTGGTTACCATTTTTGGTAATACAGGTGATGGTAAATCCCATACCATGAATCATACCTTCTTTAAGGGTGAAGAGGTGTTTAAGACCTCAACGGAACAAAACTCATGTACGCTGGGTGTCTATGCAGCAATGCAACATGAAATTGGCGTACTATGTTTGGATACAGAGGGTCTATTGTCCACATCGACAAAATGTAATCAGCGCATGCGCATGTTACTTAAGGTAAAGCTATAGAATTTAGATTGCGATATCATTCAAAACTAATTGTTTTTTTATTATTACAGATTCTAGCCATATCAGATATTGTGATATATCGCACTAGGTCCGAAAGATTACACAGTGATATGTATGAGTTTTTGGGTACCGCATCGAGGGCATTTTGTTTGCATTTCTCGCAGGCATTGCAGTCATTGGGCATACCAGGTTCTGCCAATTTGGGGCCAGCTGTTATCATATTCCACGAAACCAGACACACCAAACCCTTGGAAAATTGTAGGCCTCCCTTCAATTGTTTATGTTCAAAATAATCATTTTGTCTTTTTCCCTACAGCCGTTGAAGAAAGTGCCGAGGAAAAAATTCGCGAAAAATTTGCCCGTTTAAATTATGACATCAATGCTTTTAGTTCGTTACGCTATGTGGGTATACAGACCTCTTCCAGCGGTACAACCGATTATAACAAACTTATTGCAGCTTTACGAGTGGATTTGGACAATACCACAGTACGTTCGCCGCGCCAGCCAAGCATTATTTTTAAGGCCATGAGGGCATTGAATAAAAAATTCTCTGGAGAAATTGTTGACAAATCCATAAATCCCTTTCCCGAACAACATTTCACCTGCCCCGTACTGTGTGCCTCATGCAATCGTCGCTGCCAACGTTCCATGGGTCATGATGGTGAAGATCATTTAAATTTAAATCCCTGCCAGCATCAACATCAATTTGAGAATAAAGTTGAATTGTGTAAAATGTGTTACAACAATGGACGTGAGATAAAGGTTACACGTGTGGACACCTGGACTCACACGTTGATCAATTGTCCACACTGTGGTGAAATAGCCAAGACATTTAAGTATTGGAGTGGCACCCAAGAATGTGATGCCATTCGAACACAAACTGTACATATTTGGAAGGATAGCAACATATCGCCCAAAGGGCCCTCGCATTCGGGACAAATGGTATTGGATAAAGTTTCCTATGTGTGTGAGGCTTTTAGCAATTTTTCATCACAACCAACGGGAGTGTTAAAGGAATGGTGTGCCGACAAGGTGGCGCCCAAGTATTGGAAACCAAATCATGAGATAGTGGTGGGTATCCCCCTCTTAGTTAAATCATTCTACCTATGAATAACTGATTATATCTTTTAGAACTGCTTTTCTTGCAAGAAAAACTTTGACAAAACCGGCCTGCGCAAACATCATTGCCGTGGTTGTGGTGAAGGCTTTTGTGATGCCTGTTCCAAGCATCGAATGCCGGTGCCATCACGCAAATGGTTTGAAAATGTACGCGTGTGTAATGATTGTCGCCAATTTCTACTTAAACATCCCAATTCCATACCAGGTATGTTCAATTTTGAAATATGCCATATCAATTAATTATATATATGTGTGTATGTATATGTATATGCAGATCAAGAAGAACAAACTACTAATGATAATACTACTAACTCTCACAATCATACTGCAGGATCGAGTAATGCCGAAGCATCTCAAGAAGAAACAGATGTAACTGTTCGCAAATGCGGTGAAACACTTTACAACACCATTAGTAATGTGGCATCAGCTGCTTTGGAATGTACCAAAGGTATGACAACCATCAATACAGGTGTATGCGTGTGTAATTGGAATATTTAAAATAAATTTTGCTTTATTGTGTGTTTAGATATAATAAAAGACACCGCCAGACCGGATTATTGGGTACCCGATTCAGAAGCCCTTTGTTGTCACATTTGTAAAATGAAATTTGGCACTGCCGAAGAACTATTGGCCTTGGCCACATCGCACAACAATGATCGAACACAAAGTCCCCAGCGTTCCTTTAAGGGTAGTGACTGTAAACGTCATCATTGTCGCAAATGTGGCCAGGGTGTTTGTTCGGATTGCTCAAAAACTCGCCGTCCTGTACCTGAACGTGGTTGGTTAGATGAAGTACGTGTCTGTGATGAGTGTGTTAGTGATAATGCGACAGCTATGCCTGGGCCATCTTTGCCAGCGACAATGGATAATAGCACAGCCCATAACAGCAGCAACAGCAGCCATAACAGTCCACGTCAACCGGTGGAGGTGTGTTTTTTGGACGATGCCAAAACCAAAGTTGAATAAATTTGCTAGCCAATTCTGTTTTCATTGGGCATTGCTTTTAAAGACGTTTTCGTGGTTACCTGCCCCGCCCCTGAAGATACAGTTATTTTGTTTGTTGTTTTCTTATTATTTTTTTAATCATCTTTACTTTAGGAGTGTCTTCATGTGATAAACAACCTTATTTATACATATACATATATGTTACAAAGAAATGGAAATATCATTTACATATGATATATATATGTAAAAACACAAAACAAATTAATGAACAAAGGTTAGTTAAAAAAAACTATGTTACAAAAATATAAAACTTGATTTCAAGATAATTTTTAAAATTGAATAGAAATGTAGTTTTTATTTTAAGCACAATTTGTTTCAGTAAAAATATCTTAAAGAATTTATATTTTTTTAAATGGTATATACACACATTTCTATACATACATATGTATTTTAAAATTAGTCAAAACCTGGTCACTGATATAAACTTAAATAGTCCATAACTTTTGTATGTGTCTGAAACGAGTATGTAAATATTTCCACAGCATCTTTGATAACGGTAAAAGGTTCGGAGAAATCATTGGCCTCACTTTTATCAAATATTTCCACATCCATCAGACTGGAAGATGAGGAATCATCATTGCCACCATTCGATGTTGCCTTCTTATAATGTTTCACAATGATGTTAAATATTTCCAAAATATAATCATCGTTGGCCATATATTTCAACAACAGCTCAACGGAATACTGTAAAAATAAACGTTGCACCACCGTCGATACCATATTGTCTTTTGGGGTAATTTCCAATGTTTGCTGCTGCCAATTATTACCCAAATATAAATTAATGTCAGTGGCAAGGCATGACACAATTAATTTCGAACTGGCATCTCTTATGTCATAATCATCATCCATTAAAAGATCCAATACAAGTTTGATATATAAACTAATGAAATCCAAACGTTTTAGTTCCAAACATTTGGGATAATGTATCGCAATGTGTTTTAGGCTGTTGGCAGCTTTGATTCTGGAAATAAAAAAAACAAAATTTTTATTTCTTATAAAAATATAAAACCTTTCTTTCTACATACCTCAAATAATATGGCTGCGAGGGATTGGCAATTTCAATTAAATATTCCAAACATTTTTGGGCACAATCATAGTTAACACCTTGTTTTTGCAGAACCCTTTCCACACACATGGTCAACGATGATTTTACATCCGTTTTATGTTTCTTGGCCTTTTCCAATAGCTGACTGAGTGAAAAATCAAAGTGATGAAGTTGACTCAAAATGGCATATGCTTTCTTGGCTGCCTCAGGATAATATTTTGGAATCTCTATTAGCTTTTTTAAATAGATTTCCAAGGCCTTACTATTTCTCAATTGTGAAGAGAGTTCTTGTAAGGAATCTTCATCTAAGGATTTAATAAATTGCACTTCATTGGGTAAAATTTCAAATTCTTCCAACATTTCCTCATCGCAGCTTGCATTGCCAGCCAATGCAAGTAAAATAATATTGAGACATGTTTCAGCTTGTTCTAATGGCAGTAACGTCACTGGAGGTTCTAGTATATAATCACTTAAAGCCTCCGCGGGCAGCGTTAAACGCATGTTATGTAAATTATAAAGGAAATTTGTTTTATATTGCACGGTATAATAAAAACTGCTTTTGGGATCATTGTTTGTGGCCAATGTGGAGAAGTATGTCAATTGTTGTACTAAGTCACGTTTTACATTCATGGAAGATAAACTGAAAATGGGATATTTTGTTATAGATATTTTGGGATGGATAAAGAAAATACATACCTGTTTAACATTTCTATAAAGATATCCAATATGGTTTTCAGGATGACTGCATTTTGTAAACCTGTACGTTTGTGGAAACACACAAATGTGCTGGAAATATCCGTTATTAATTCCTCATTCAAAATGCCTTTGTGATTTTTCAATAAAAAGTAAATCTGAAAAGAAATATGTGAGTATTTGAGCGGCGTAAATATGAAAAATCTTACCTGCAGAATATAGCCGTGTAAACGATTAAGTTTAATTGCATTTCCATCGGTCATAAGCTGGAAGAAATACGGAGACAAAAATTAAACAAATGTAAACATTTTGCCAGTATAAGTTATTTTTTATCCTAATTTTTGTTAAGGAAATTCATCAAACTTACCACAATTTCGGCACATTTCTCCCGCAACAATGTCGACACTTCATCCTTATTAACCAACGCAGCAATGGCTTTGGCTGCCAAATATCTTGTCTGCAGTTCTGGACAACCACCACATTCCGATACGTACGGTATAAACTGAGACAATTTCAAATTAGATTCGGTACCCTCCAAGGCCGAGACATACAAACGACTCAACACCAACAACAATGGATGCAATTTATGGGCTTTTTGTTGTCGCAAAATCAACTCACTTGCCTTTTGCAGCTCCTCCAAAAAGAAATCATACAATTTGGGATAACGTAAAAAGAAAACACGTCCGGTCATTTTATTACGGATATTCAAGTTTTCCGTATCTTTAGTGCGTTGTACACCAAATATCCGGGTCATTAGTGAGGCAAATAATAATGTAGCAGAATTTTTCTCGGACCAATTTCTGGCATCGTAGCCATTAATGGCAGCTGTAATACCTTGCGAAACATATTCACCCACAGCTTCATTTAAATCCGAACAACGAAACAATGCTCTTAAAATATTCAAGGCATGGGTGCGAGATTCAGAACTGTTTTCCTTACACGCAGCCAATTCTAAAAGGTGTTTCATACAAAATGCCAAGGATTTAATTGAGCCCACCTTCAATTCAGAGGTGATCAGAGCCTGGACCATAAATGGTACTCCAGCACTGCGTCGTGTGGCACATATTTTACCATTATTTACATCTTCTTGGGAAATCAGAGAAATCAACTCCTTTAGCCACATCATGGGTAACGTATTTAACTCCGGATATTCCACAGTCCAAAGACGACAACACAGCTTTGAAAAACCCACATAGGCCTGTTCAAAGGCACCACGATGTTTAGTTTCCGATAGTAAAAGTTTGAAATGTTCACCAATATCAAGAATTTGTTCTTTGCTGATAAGAAATTCTTTCACATCCGAAGTAAATTGAATGGGGGAATTTAAAACCACATAACCCAAAATGAGGGAGACTTCTTTGACAGTACGCCAGGCGCATAGCAAAACCATTTGTGGTGTAGTTTTGAGCGATATCAAATCCGATTTGCGTAACTTTGAAGATAATATTTTACACGGTGCCGAATCCAAGCCAGGGGAGGAGGTCTGTAAAGGATTAAAAATTAAAATTTCCTCAAAATAAAAAATTGAAAAAGAAAATTCCCTACCTTTTCTTCCTTTACAATATTTTCCGGAAATTCACCAAAATCATTTGGTAAATGGCCTTCGGGTGATGAACTATTTACAATGGGTGACACTACATCCGTCAAGTCCTTACAAATATTTATCAAATCGGTTACAAAATTACGCCACACAGTTTCCTTGGCCAACTGAGAAAATTCTATTCTGGCCAATAAATGTTTAATTGTCAGTAGTATGCCATACAAAGGATTCATCTTGGCTGCTTCCAATATACTCAAACGTGCCATTTCCAAACCATCTTTTAGATGGTCATATAACCATTTCAAAGCAGCAAAATAGGTGGGTGAATATTGTGGCAAATTGTAATCACCAAACATTGATGGGCAACCACGATGACATAAGAATTCCATTTGATATGATGCAGTAACTGAATCTGTGGGCCTTACCGATGTCAAGAGATCCAAAACATTGTTGAGATTTATTTCCAAATTGTGGTCTTTGAGAATATCGCTATTATCGGCATTGTCTTGTAAAAGTTTCAACATATTAACTGCCAATTCATTGTTGGATTCATATGAATCTTTTAAGGTTTCATATAAAACTTTTACAGTTTCTTTCGGTAGCAAGGGTAACAATTTGAGACCACAATTCTTAACAATTTCAAAACACTGCTGCAAAAGTTGCAAGGAAACTGAACGCCGACTGAAATTTGCTCCCTCAAAGAGATTTTCCACTAAGATTTTCATAAATGCCTTAAGGAATTTTAAATCCAATGATTCTTCATCCTTAATTTCTGATGCTTGTTTTCCCTTTAGGAATTTCTGCACACCCACGTGGCACCGACTTAATGCCTTGGTCAATAAACCCAACGATTTATGCCTAGTTGCTGGACACTGAGTATTAACATTATATTGCAAATATACAATTAACAGTTCACATTCCATTTGTGTTAGCGGCTCCGTAGTTTTGTGGGTCTCCACCAATAGCCTTACAGCCATAATTCGTGTCTCATTGTCATTGGATAGAATACTCAATTGTAAATGTTGTGAAAATTGTTGCATGATTTCTTCGTAGTTATCAATTTTAATACCAGATTTACGTACAGCCCACAAAGTGGAAAGTTTGGTACTAATCGGAATAGTTTCCTGGGAATTTTGTGCAAAGAGAATACTTTGTACGACGCGACTATCGCACTTTACAGCTTTAACAATTAAAGCTTCTACATCGGCTAAACGTGAATCTTGACAACAGGCAATGTTGAGTAAAAATCCAATCCAGGTACTACACCATTTATCAAATGACTGTTCCTTGTAATTGGCCATCATTAATGCTGAAATATGAGACAAATTATTAAAATCTATTTAAAGACAAAATGAAGACATATACTCTTACCTTCATATAAATTATTAACAATAAAATCTTTACCCAAATTCTCGGTAAATAATTTACTAAAAATTGTTTTACAATTCTCCAAAATATTCTCCGCTCCTAAGACATAGGAAACTTGTTGTAGTATAACACATTTTACCGCCAACGATAATCTATCAGAGTTGCAGGCCTCGTAGATATTCGTTATCAATTCATTGTATTCCAATTTCTTGGCAGCTGCCACAACATTGCGCATAAGATCTCTACACAAATGTCTAACACTGTCCATATGATGTTCCATAAATGCCACCGAAAATGCCATTAATTTTTGGAGAATTTGTTGACCATCTTCACGGGAACATCCCAAAGCAAATTGTAAAGTTAATTTGGATATTTGAAAAAGAGCCCTTGTGGCACACAGCAGAATGTTAGGTACCGTCGCATTGGCATTAGCAATTTCATCAATTTTCCCACATATATGTAGGATGTTATTGGAATATTTTTGAAAATCTACAGAATTTGCGGTATTTATGACACCCACACACAATGCAATTTCATTTGGATTTTGAATGGCCTGGGCTTTGAGCACAAAAGCGGGATATTCATCGAATAACTTGGCTATATTTGCCATTAACATGCCAGCATTTGTACGTGGATCCATGGGAATTTCACCATCCAAAACAATCTGAAGGCAGAGCTTTTCAAGATCTCTCAATTCGGTGTTGTGTTTGGTTTTTAAATCTCCTCCAAATTCTTGGGAACATGTTAAAAGTATTCTCACCGAATTGTGGACATACATGTAATATTCATTGCGTACAGAGGGAGAAGAAATTGTCCTATAAACATACAAATTAAAGAAATTAGAGATAACTCTTGATATTTCACATATCTACTCACTTCAATTCATCCAAATATTTCCCCACCGAGAGGTAAATAATTGAAAACACATCATCTATATTTAATCCCAATGCTTTACGACCACATTCAAAATTCTCAAAGCATCCAGACAATGAAACGATATTGGTGTTCCAAACCAGACTACTGGAATTTGCCTTTGTCTCCAGAACAACTGTTTGTATACTGCTGGCCAAAGATTTCACAATTATACTTTCTGTTAAATTATCGGCATTTATTTTGGAGGCATTAACTAAAAGTCTGGAAGAATAAATTATTATTATTTATGGATTATGAAAGTGACGGTAGGACATACTTAACAATTTGATTTCGCACAGGATGTTTTAAAGGACTGCTAAAATGTAAGTCACATAAAAACTGTAACACTCTTTCATTGTCCTTGGCAGACTCAAAAATCTAAGGATATACAAAATAAGAAATAACCGAAATAAATATTTTAGGAAACATACCCTCTTGACACAAGCCACTTGATCTGGTACGGTGGTAGCCCCTCTGAATTCCAAGCAATACGATTCATCTGCTAATGAAAATAGGAAATTATCAGGATGGTAATATAAAATAAACTTTTCCCGCGTCCATATATAAACAAATTCCATTCATAACTATTTGTTCAATGAAAAACGTCCCGGACAACGAACCGGACAACGAAATAACGGACCGTATAGGCAAGATCCTTCTTGTTCTTTTTCGTTGGAAATGACTCTCCATACTAACATCTTCTCTCTCACATGTCGTCTTACCTGTTTGATATGTGGCCGGCAACTTGACAAGAGCAGCTCTCATTTCAGCATTTTTCCGCACATTATCATTATTTTTCACAGAAGAAACTCTTAAATTTAATGCATTCATTTCCTTTGCTTATTTAAGGTCTTAACTATCCCAAAAAAATTAAAATTCCTTTCCAGCAATTTGTCAACAAAACAAACTCTCTCCCATGTGTTCTCAAATGAACAACATTCAGTTGAATGATATTCACTTAAAGGAGCAATGGGACCATTTCAATGAAACGCATCAAATATTGATAAAGGAAAAAGTGCACGAAATATCTTGAAATTTTGAATGCGGGGTTAAACAAATATTAATAAAATACCAAATTAGGAAATAAGCTTCGGAATTCTGTTCTCCTTTTGTTTTTGCAACAGAGAGATGCATTAGAAAGTGTTTTTACCAAAATGAGTTGGAGATATTAAAAAATGAATTAATATTTTCTCAATGCACTATCAATCACACTCTCCCAAACCTGACCATATGTTTCACATCTGTCATATTTCCCTTATGCCGAATTGTTGTCAGCACTGGCTGTTATGCAAACCATCGATTGTCAAAAAAATATTTGACAAATTGCAATTTTCCTCATTTCCAAGCAGCATTTGGTAATTCCTCAAAAAATTAAATAATTATTATTCCAACATTCAATTAATTAAAATTCCTCTCAATTTAGTTGGTGAGAATTGGTAAATAATGGATGCTGCCAAAAAGCAAGATATGCCCCCACCAGGAGGCTACAAGAAGATTCCCTTTGCCCGTGTGCCTGCCAAAGTTTACTTCTCGGGTATGAAAGAAAGAAAATTGTTACGGAATGGAAAATAATTATTGAAACTTTGTTGTTGTATTCAATACAGGTTGGCAAATGTTGGGAACATATGCTGCCGTTACCACAGTGGGTTTGTATATTTACTATTTGAACGCCAAAATGATTAAGCGTGAAGAAATTGAAATGCGCTCAGCGGAAAATGTTATTTTCCCCGTTTTGATTGCTGAACGCGATCGTGAATTCTTGAAGCAATTGAGACGCAATCGTGATGAGGAAGCCAAATTGATGGCTAATGTTCCCGGATGGGAGGTAGGTTAACTCATTTCCAGTTTTTTATAGAAATAAATGTCAATCTTTTTTAAAGGTTGGCACCTGGTACGGTGAACCCATTTACAAAACATTGCCCAAGGATAAATTGGTTACTCCCAGCTTCCAAGAATTCTATGTCCACACCGACTGGAAGTCCCTTGCTAAACGTGCCCACATCAAATTGTGGTCTTAAACATTTTCTTGTGCAACCATCTTGGATGGATGATGGTACTGCCTACTAAATGCAGCAAAGCTTTTGTTTAGTTTTAAATTTATAAAAAAGAAAGTGAGAGAGGTTTCTTGGAATACCCCCATAGGAAATTGTTATAAATAAAGGAATCTATAAGAAAAGAAACAGAAATTGAAAGGAGTTTCAAAATCATTTGAAAAGTGGGATATCACGAATAACTATTTGGGGTCAAGTGACGAGCAATATAAATCAAAAAGTTGGACCACAAAATATAAAAAATAGAGGTGTATATTCCCCCCGAACCATATCTATGACTACCATTAGGACATGGGTATTTATAATTAAATTGAATTACTTTTTGCCAAAAATCATATAAATTAAAAAGCCGACATTTTTTTTTGTTTATTTCATAACATTCTATTACAATCATAGAAAAAAAAACGAAACATAAAACTGAGAATTGCTAAAAAACTTGTCCAAATTCCTTAAATTTCAAACATATATAGCGGCACCATAACAAAATCAATTATGGTATTAAAAAAAAACTATGTGCTATTCTTTATAAAAACTGATTTGTTACAAATTAATTGCTGTAACTAATTAAAAAAAGAAATAGAAGAGTATCTTATATATGTAATTAAAAAAAGAGAATTTCCATTATATCCTTTTTTATAGAATAGAGTACAAAAGAAAAACTAATGATATCCATTAAAATCATAACACCTCCCACTCGGAATCTACTTCAAATCTCGTCGCCGTTTAATTGTACCATCGCATGTGGGTATGTGGCGTTGCAGGAAACCCTCAAACACAAATTTGCGTCCACAACGTTCGCAGGAGAATTCTCGCTTTTCGTCCACCATCTTTTTGTGTTCCTTCAACACTTCAGCATTGGAGAACTTCTCACGACACGGATCACAGGCATAGCGACGCTTAACTTGGCCCGCCTCAAAGACCACTGTGAAATTTTGTGAACAGAACGAGCATGTGTACTCTTTGACCACCATTTTTTTAAAACCATGTTCGACCTGTAATGCTGCCGCCTCCGCTTCCAGTTTATCTTGGTGTTTGTGTTGTTCCATGTGGGCTTTGTACTTTTCTTCGTCAATGAATTTGCGATAACAGCGTGTACAACGTTTGGGGCCCTCGCCCGTATGTCGCAGCATATGTTCCTTGAGATAACTCACCGAGTTGAAGACACGATTGCAGATGTTGCATTTTCTTTGTTCTTCGGGGACTTCTGTCTTTTGACGCATACAGGCTCGCATATGCAGCTTAAGAGAGCCAGCAGCACTGTAGCAGTTACCACAGTTGGGACAGTAGAAGGTTTTGTTATTGCGATTAATGATTTCGGTAAGGCCAACATCAGTTATTTCATATTCTTCTGTGCTGCCCAAGCTGTCATCGTGACCACCTTCCGAGGTACCCGTTGGGACAATATGTAATATTGTGTGGCTACCATCATCCTCCACCGTCTCCACTTCTTCCACTGAACCACCATCCTCCGTAATGACCTGGTGTATGGCAATGGGACGTCCATGTTCATCGATAATCACTTCTTGGGTCTCCTGCATTACCTCCGCCTGATGTCTCTGGCTATTCAGCGAAGCCACAGCAGCCTCTGCCTCCTCCGTTGTAGCAAATGTGGCATAGGCATATTGAGGTTCCTCACCCGAATTCGGGTCATGAATAAGTACTGGCACCACCTCTTCTTTGATGGTGCCATTGGCTGTGGTTGTTGTCAGTGTGGCATATTTGGCTCGTTTGGCATTCATTGTTTACCTTTTTTTCAATCGGGAGGATCTAAGAGTTTCCAGATGTTGCCCAAATTATACAAATCTAAATCAATTGGTCAACTCTAACAAAATTTATTTGGTAAAGAGATACCGTCTTGAAGAGAATTTTTCTTGAAAAATGATGTCTACTCTGGTTTGGTTACACACGCAATTTGGCAACGTCTTGTCATTGTATTCTCTACGGTTTTTCAAAATGGTGGCCTACCCAAAAGCAGAGTTGTATTTGGAAAATATACTAGACGAAGGAAATGCAATGCTGACAATGACAGGGTTGTATGACAAAAGAGAGTGAGAACGAGACGTTATATTTTAAATGTCATTTTAGTTGCAAAAAAAAAACACAAATTATGACACCAGCGATGGGAGAGTGATTGAAAGAGAGAAAAATGCTGATTTTAAGCGGGAATATAATATTGTGTAATAATTTAAGTGAAAGTGCTTGTGAAAATGTAAAATTTTTTAAAAAAAATAGATAATAGTGAATGAAATACAATCGATTTTATCCAGTTTAATCAAGAAAGTAAATTGTAGCTCAAATTTGTTTATGGATTGTTTAATACATACTCCAGTCCCATCATTGATAAGGATCTTAGTGTGTACGCGATCCCCACATAAAAGGGTCGCCCCACGTTTGGATGGGGTGGGAATGGGTGGCATTGGGAACGTTCGGAAGAAAATATATGAATATTTGATATTTTGAGGAAGAAATAGAAGACGAAAGAAATTATTTATTTCCACAGAGGATTGCACATAAAGGACAAAAGGTAAAAATTGTAAACTGTTGTCGAATTTTATTTTAACTTAAATCTCTCTTTTTCCATAATCCTGTGAATAAATCCTTTACTTGCCAAATGGATCATCTCAAGCAAAAACTGTTTATAGTGAAAAAAATTAATTAAAATTATTCAATGTTGTGGAATTTAATGGCTAAAGCATTGATTATCCAAATTATTGAACTCATTTGGAAAAATATCATTCCATTCCATCCTGAAGACCAATTATCGCAAATACCCATGGGTATGTTATTATTTCCTATTTTAAATATTTTTTTTTTATTCGTATTTATCTAGTTTCTGGCTTAGACAATAGGTATTTCTAGGTATTTATGGTTGTAAAGGTGTAATTAAATAATCGGATTTCCCAATGGCTGGCCATGTGACTACTAGGAAATATATTTAATTAAAAAGTGATACACCGTTAGTTTTAAAATTATTGAATAGTAATGTGTATTTTCCGTACACCAACATTATGTCCGTCCAAGTAAGTTCTGTCGGAACTTAATCTTGAAAGCTATCTAATATGGAATTTCAGATTGCATTGAAAGCACTTCAAACTAAATTTTGGTCGAACAAGAAGAAATATAGTCTTGGAAAAATGTGTCCTTTTGGTTTAAAACATATTACATACGCACAGATGATTTGAGAAAAAGACACTAAACTTTTCTTCGAAGTAGATCCTAAAATTCATTAATCAACTTTGCCAGAAGTTTGTCTTGGTTGAACTAGCGGTTTTCACCACTACTTTTTTCTTCATACATCATTTTATTTCTAGTATATTTTTTCTACAACGTATTTAGAATGAACACAATGGACTATATGCCCCTAAGTGGATGGAAAATGGAAATTTTGGCACCATCTACAAAATTACGATGTCCTTGTCCAATTTATTATAAATCGGTTAAGAAGCTCTCATAAATGATCCACTATATATTTTTATTAAAATCATTATGGTATATAATATGAACCCTATGGTCACGTCCTGTATGTATCAAATGTTCTGTAGAGTATCATATAGCCAGTTCCATCCTTTCTATTTCCTTCATTTCATTTCTTACTATTTGAAATGTGTAATTCCCTATTTAATAAATCTCAAAAATTGACTCATTTCCATCGCATTTGATGATTAGTCACATTTACATGTCATTTGAGACAGTCAAAAAATATTTTCCATTGAATTGCACTTTTGTTGTAATTATTCAATTATAGTTAATTGCCAGTTAGAACGCCATTCGATTTATCTTTCAAATCAATGAATAGTTCAACAAAATTGTTTATGAGCCTCTACAGTTATTGTCTTAATAAAAACAAATACAATATTCGTTAGATGATCACACCAGGCTGATATATATTCCGATATTGTTCGAGTGTGCTAGTCATGTGTGCACATCTGAGAATGGTCCATCTTTAGACCATTGGTTAGAACACATGTCCATTTGTTTTTTCATCCCATCAATTGTTTCTCTGTTTAGTTTTTTTATTATAACAATGTTATTTGATTAATGTGGGTTTGACCATTGTAGGTTGCGAACTTGCAAATTGTTTAGAAATGAAAATAAATTGTCTTCCTGGTTTGCAGGCTACACGTGATTCAATATAATGGCTTTTTCAACTTATTAATCAAACAGTATAAATTTTACCTCTATTATAAATAAATTTAAATAATTTTAATATATAACTAATATTAAGTTCTCCAATCCCTTAGAGACTCTAATTAATTGATTATGAGAATAATGATTTTTTGAAAGAAGCTTGGAAAAAATGATGGAGGCTGCTAATTTTTAATAATTATAATATTTTTCCCATTTATAATATAGAAAATTAATTTAATGTGCCAAATCATTTAAAGTGGGGTACTGAGAAAATATGAAAGAAAAATATTATGCAGTAGACCTAATAAAAAATTGTTATATTAGATATATGTTTGCAAATTTATTTATTTCAATCAAGAAACAAATTTGCCCTCTCATGTAATGTAACAGCTCGAAAAATCTAACCTTGAAAGAGAAGAAGCTTAAAGAAATCATGTATATTATATTTTTGTACCTATTCTAGTTATACCTTGTATTCTATAGTTATATCACGTTCTAGCCAGTATTATCTTCTTTAGTTGTTTTTCGTTCTCTAGCCAGTGTTATATTTTTTTCAGCCGGCTTCAATAAACTATGTTATTGCATTTCTGTTTATTATGATTATTTTTTTTTTTGCAATTTTATTGCAATTGCTAAAAATAATTACAGCTGTTACTGTTATTTTGTATTTTATTGTTCTGCTGTCTTTTTTATTGCTTTCTTTACATTGAAAACCAGTATTAACTGGTTTGAATTATTTTTCGAATACGAACAATTAATATTAATACAATTGTTCTGTCTTGACTTTATAGATTGTCATCCATTTATTAAGGCAATTAACGGCTATAACAGCAGTTAAAATAACTATAAAAGGGTGTTGAGGGAAAAATTGATAGAAGAGTGATTGGAATTTTTAAAAATAAAGTAAGACGATAAAGTAATTATGATAGTAATTAATATGATTTTAGGAAAATAAGGGGAAGTAATGGCAAAATCTTATCACTTCTGAAATGCTTGAAATTGTAGTTGATTGAATTTGTTTTTGAATTGACGTAAAATGGGTTGATAATATTTTATCGTTTTTTTAATTTTGTGATTTAAATTGTAATCAATTGTATGCACTTGTAATGTACTCAATGAGTTGTAGCTGATTTGTTTTCTTTTTTATCGATCGATCAACGTCTGTTCTTTTTTTGGTTATCTAGTACGATAACAGTTTGAGAATTGAAAACAATAAGTGTTTTCTTAATAATAATAAATATTGAAATTATTACTCAAAGGTAGCAATGACTCAAAGAGATGGTAGTGGAAAGTGGTATTAATAAGGGTATAGGGGAAATTGATTCAAAAAGTATGAGAATGTAGGTCTAGGATTTGGCATGGCCCTCATATACTTATACTAGGATAAGAAAGGAACAGGGAAGCATAATCTGTTTTCTATATCCATTTGAAGTACTATTTTTTGGACTGTTTCCCTACTACAAGTACCTACTAATTTTTTTTTACTATTTTTTCGATATCACAAAAGGAAAATTTGTTATCGTAGGAAAAGCTGTATATTCTTGCAGGTTCTGGAACATATATTTTGTTTGAATTTTATATGTATTATAATTTATCTGGTCTCATAATAATGCTAGAAATACAAATTGATCTAATTTTCTAAAGGACATCTTCTTTATCTATTTATAATGCTACTAAAAATATAAAAAATCTATAATAATTTTAAAAATATATACATCAAACGACATTTGCCTCCCACCCTCACTCAATAAGACTTTTGATACAATCCTACATTTATCCTTGCACAGTCCTTGTCATTAGCAGAAAATACAAATATCTCATTATAATAACATGGCTGGGATATCTTGATGATGGCGCCAATGGCCGAACATGTTATACACTTGTGTTTCCTTGATGATGATGATGGTGATGAGACATCCTCTCAAAAGATAACGAACCATATATAGACGTAGGCAGACAGTCACAACAATGCATGCCGATGCTGAAATGAAATAAATAATTAAAGTGTATTTATTTATGACATTATACATCAAGAATGATTATAGACATCAACATGAAAATGAAGCATTCAATGAAAAAGAGAAGAGAAGAAATAAAATAAATAAAACGCAATAACCCATACCGTTCGGTTCTCGTCATTCATATATCGTTTGGTGGCATGTGAATTTCGTACAATAAGATAAAAAAAATTGAAAATGCAATTTTTTGTCTCTCAACAAGTATTTGAACTTTAGATATTTGTGTTGTTATTGTTGTAGTCTGTCTCTGTAAATTCTAAGTGATAAACAGCTGGGCTAAAGGGGGTTATGGGGGAGTTAGAGTTTTCAAAGAAAATTTGATGAGTCCCACGACGATGACAATGATGAAATAATGACATGTGCACAAAATATTTATAAACTTAAACAATACATATTCATTCACTTGTTTTTTATCTTTGAAAATAGCGTGTTGCGTGTAATGAACATGACTGACTACTATTACAAAATAAACAATCAGGCAATTGTTTTAGAGAACAGTGGAGTTGCAATGAAAATTTCTTTATTTAATAATTTGTATTATTTTCCTGAAGAGTTTATAAATTCTTATTGGAACAAATACATAGGAAAGCGAAATTCAGCTGTTTTTTTTCTCAAGTCGAATGTCAAAAATGTGGACTTTGCTTACGGTTTTATAAGGGAAGCCAATTCACTATAATGGAGTTTGATAGTAGCAGCTGGTCTCCCTAGATGACCTTATTTATAGACCTTGATCAAGATTAATCAGCTGTTTTATGACAACTAATAGATTCAAATTAGATATCATTT